TCTACAAGGTGTCCAAGCACAGGGAACCTCAAGGAATCTGCTCAGAGCTGTCTCTGTGAAAGCATTGGCTAACTAGCCAGTACTTTGGAATTCTGATGAGACAAAATCTCAGTTTGAATCTCCCTGATGGAAGAACAGAAAGCTGCATGGGATGGCAGTGTGTGTGCTTTAAGGGCTCGGTACCAAGTGCCCAATTGCTGTTCGCAAGATAAATCTCCTTTCGCTTTTGTCAGAGCTCAGTCTGCCTGTGAATATGTCTGGACTCTATCCCCAGAAGCACCATCTGCTTGTGATTTTCCTACCATCTGACCGTTTACCCTTTGTCAACCATCTTCCTCTGGGCAGCTCCACTACCAGCTGGAGTCTACCCATTGCTCAATTTGGAAAAACTGAGTCTGAAGAGCAACAAAACAGAAGAGAGGGAGGAGGGAAACAGTGCCGTGTGCAAGTACCTGAGGCCAAGGTGTGATGTGGGAAGGTCCAGAGTATTTGCTCAGAACCTGGGGAGGGAGCATGTGGCCAAGCCAAGGCCATATTGCGTCCCAGGCAGCCTGATGGCTCTGCAAATAATATTGATGCCTTTTGTTTGGAAACTTTTGTGGTGGCTTCCCACTTTCCAACAAGCCATGGTAAATGCTGGGCCTCCCCCAAACCACTTTGCCTTTTGCATGGTTCCTGGCCAACTGTGCAGGCAGATGAGGCCCCTCGATGCTAATGAGGGGAAGGGCTGGCATTCCTGAAGCACCCAGCTCTGGTAAGCCAGCCTTTGTTGCTAAGGAACATTAGAACTGTAGCTGAAAGGCTCATAGAGACAGGCCGGAATGGGAGAGAAGAAAGGCACTGCTTGTTTCCAGAGCTTCACAGTTCTCTAGACAGCACCAAAGCCTCCCAGTTTCTGATCCCAATTAGAATATCACTCCCTCCTTATTGTTCCTCTTGATGATCTTGGGACATTCCTTGGAAGACTTAGAGAGCACTTAGCAAACTCTGAACCATACTATCTCTTCTGTTAGGCTTTTGCTCCCGTGAGCATGCCACCCCCAGGTGGCTGGAGAATGTTCTTTGTTTCTGGCTCAGAGGGGTAATGGCCCTGAAAAAAAGCAGCTGGGGTTTGCTAATGTTCACAGGCGGGCTCCATTCAATAGGTGCTAACCAGTGGCCCACTTTCTGAAGGATCTGGGCTCCGTAGTGCTGACAGAGATGAGGCTTTACTCCAGCATGGATTTGACGCCAGGCTTGCTGGAGACTAAGGTCATTCATACTGGTATGTTCTGCAAGCCGTTTGCTGCCAGGGTGGCCTGCATGGCATTTTTGCACTTGCAGCTTACACTTGGGGTTTTCCATTCCTGCCTCATTCACTCTTACTAGGCCTGTTAGGATCAAGGTTGAGTATAGTAATACCCCGAGTCTCAGTTTCTCAACTGTAAGATGGGCATAACAATGCCAACCTACTATGTGTACTATGAAAAGCAATTACAGGCAGGAGAGTAATGTAAAAGACAGCTTCTGCTGACTAGGAAGTCATTGTGAATGAGCCAAGTTGCTACTTCAGTATCTGGAAAAGACTAATGATTAGGCCTCTTGTAAAGGGAAATATTGTATAAAAATAAAAGTCATTTGTCTCTTCTGTGGCACTTCTCTGTGGCTTGCAAGACACAATGCTAAGCCACTGATGCTGCATTTCATTTAATAAGAACGGAATGGCGTTGCTCTAGTGAATAGGGAATTGCTTAAGGCTACTTGGTGTGAGAGAGTCTACTCTTCATGAGATACTGCCTCTGTCCTCTACTCTCTCTGTCTTTAAAGCTTGTGGTTCTTGGAAACTTAGGACACACACACACACACACACACACACACACACACATGCACACTGGATTTCCTTCAAGAAGCTTACTGCTTACCGTCACCCACTTAGTAATGTTCTGCTATAGGAAACTAATCAGTCGCCTGACACTGGCTTTATTTCTCCATGTTTATTAGAATTCAACAATGACACACAATGAATATGCCACATCCACTATCTGAGAATAACAGAAAATAACAGAAGCCACAATGACATGCTGAAGCACAGCGACCTCATATTGCTACTTCTGCCCATTTGTTGGCTTCATAGCAGACCTCATATAACTTCTACTGTCACATTGTTACCTTGATAAACAAGCTTCTGATGTTAAATTTTGTTTAATTTCTACTCAGAAAAAGTGATGATATACATACATTATACAGACACACTCACAGAAATGTACACACACACACACACACACACACACACACACACACAAATATTGACTTCTTGCCAAAACTCTAAGCATCCTGTGTTCATGTAGCCTGACTTCATGGGGCTGACTTTAATTAGAATCCCCATCCACACCAATGATGCCTTTTGGAATTTTACATGTATTCACCTCTCTGCCTTGTTGATCATTCGCTGTAAGTTCCCATTTTCCCTTGTAATATTAGAGTTGACCCCAATATCTCTCCCCTCAGACACAATTCCCTTGAAGTAGTCCCTAAGCCACCATGATAGTTCTAAATAAAGTGTATATCATTGTTCTTTTACAAATAATCTGTACTCTATTTGAGAAATTCATATATTTTGATCATATCTACCTCATTTCTCCCTATAACTTCTCACAGATTCAAATTTTCCCCCTACTTTCTCACTTCCTGTCTGTTTCAAAACAAGTAAAACACACACCCACTCACCCACACACATACACACACAAAATTGAGAGTAAAGCAGTGAAGAATTCTAGACTGAAGAAGATTCAAAAGCAATTGTTACTTGTTTTGGTATGGCACTGGTTTGATTCCCTTCTGTTTATCCACATAGAACATTTGTTCATTTTTTCCTTTTTCTGAGGTTCCCTGCGAGTTCATGTCTCTTGCTTGTAAAGAGTTGTAAAAATGGCATTGCTTCCAGTGTTTATCACACTCTTACAAAGTCCAATCCCTTTCTTCTTGTGGGTGAAGAAACTGAAGTTCTTGGAGACTAAGCCACTGTGAAGTCTACTGCATATTGAAGGGATTTTAGCTGTTTTAGAGCCTGTTCCTCTTCTATTATTGGTATAATCTGGATGATGAGGGTGGAAACTCTGAGTTACGATCTGGCCATGGCTTCCCTCCATAAAGAAATATCCATGTAGCCAAAACTCTGGGAGCACTGCTTAGACTCCACACGCAGTCACAAAGCTCCGGGAGGGAGCACATGTCACACTGCAGTCTCTGTAAACACACCCTGGCCATTTACATCTGTTTGTTACTAAGTCCACCAATCAAGAAAGCTATTGGATGTTGGATAGAAAAGCCTGAGCAAGACAAAATCCTTGCTGTTGAGGATTAGGATTTAGTTTCTGAATCTCCAGTCAGGTTTACAGTTCCATCTATTCTAGCTGCCTGTCTGCCTACCTGCCCAAAGAAAAAGAGTATAATAGGGTCCAGGGCTTCCCACTAAGCCACCTCTCCCTGGCAAATGACTAGCACAACCCAGAGATTCCTTGCTCTCTACATATATGATCCTGCTTTCTCATCACTGAAATGGACCTATGAGACATCTTACTGAGATGTCAAAGTTCGGCAAACAAAGGGCCAAGCTTTTGGTTTAGTAGTTATTAAACAATTAAATCTAAAGGCCTCATTTTCTTTACTTGACACATTTTCAGAATGAGAAAGCCATGCCTATCTTTACTGTGTTGACTGGCAAGACAGGGCTAGGAGTTCCAAAAGTTCAGTTGGCAAAAACCAAAGAGTTTATTTTCATGGGTCTAGGTGCTTTTGTTCTTGAGATATGGGTCATGAGACAAAACATGACCAAATAGACAATATGACATGCTTTGAAGCCATTTTGTTTGATGTTCCCTGACATGACCTAAGTCATTCATCTTATCTCCCATACCATTCAATCTCAGCAGCCAGGTGGGGTTGCATTAGTGAAGGTCCTGGAAACATCTTATCTCTGAATCTTCAAGGCTATATTCCTTAAGTGAACCTGTAGCTATCTCCGTGTTGCTTAGGAAGGGAAGAGATGAAAAAAATGGAGAAGATGGTCAAGACAGAACTGTGTGGTTGGTGAAACTACTGGGTTTCTCTGCCCTGAGAGAACAGAGCATGTCCAGAACTCTAGTCCCAGGTTTCGTTCCTTAAACCTTTTCGTGGGAACCCTGGGAAATAGCCCTGAAGACACTGCTCACATTGCCTACTTTTGCCCTGGAGAAGATGCTGAACTTACGTAGAAAACTCAAACTTGAAATTGTTGCCCTGCTTACTGTTAATACAGAGTGAATACTTATTTTGCTTTATATAGTATTTTTTTTGAGACAGGGTCTTTCTGTGTATCCTTGGATGTCCTGGCACTCTCTCTGTAGACCAGGCTATTCTCAAACTCAGAGATACACATGCCTCTGCTGTATGGGGGCTGAGGTTAGAGGCGTGTGTCACCACCATCTGGCTATTGTTTTTCTTATAGTGGAAATCCTTCCTAGAATAATGATTAGAGTAATGGTGTATTTACCTACATAGGGAATTATGTAATGAAGCTCTCAGGAAGCTGAGACAGTAAAATGACAAATTGAAGGCACATTTGGAAATATATATTTAGACTTTGTCTCAAAACTTAACCCACCAAAAAGATCTGTTGAGGTCTGCTCTGTACCAGGAATTCTGGTGAGACAGCAACATTTTGCATGCTTTTTGACACATGGACTCATGCTTCCCCCCCCCCCCCCAAAACAGTTTGTTAGTGATGTAGAAAAAATATCAAACACATTGATAATAAGGACTGTAAGTACAAAAGAGCATTTTAAGGATTTGGACTCTTGTTATATCAGAAGACAAAGCTAGGTCTCTCTAACTGTTGGGAACTGCTCCTGATCATAGCCATCAAAAGTGGCTAGAACAGTTACATCTGTCCCAGCTCTGCCCAGGACTCAGACTGAGGAGAAGCACAGGCCCCTTTAAGAGGGGGATGAGAGAAAGTCTGCTCTCACTCCCTGCACTTGTTTTCACAGCTCCTTTAAGTACTGAAGTACTGGACCCAAGATTATGTTTCCTCCTGAATGGAATCTTCGCAAGGCTTGTTCAATTCTCTGAGGACTCAGGGACAAGTTGTAAATAAGATTGTAGTTGTAAATGTGGTGTCTTGCTCGCTCCTTCTCCAGAACTCCTGTGATGACATGGGGAGGAGGAGGATTAAGTTTATTATATTATTTTAAAGAGGAATGATAGATCAAGGAAAGATATGTGTTAGTTTGAATGAGTTGTAGGTAAATGCTAAACACTAATGTTTTATGACTTTAAGATTATTAAAATTGACCTAAGATATTTAGAGTCTTGGATATGGCTTATAGACCCTAGGAGATGACTTTGGAGTAGAACAAAACAGATGCATCCGGGAACACCACACATATGCTCTAAAGAATTTATGTTTTTTCCTTGTATCCATGCAAAACGTCAAAACGTCAAAAAGTAGGTGTGTTTGCTAAAAGTGTTCCTAAATATTCTTTTTTTTTTAAAAAAAAAATAAAGTACCTATGAATGTTGCCAAACAGTTCATCTGCTCCTTCCTGACACGTTTCCTGTGACTGTCTCCAAGTAACCTATGTGATAGATGTGTGGTTGCACAGCATGCATTCTGTCACCTGTACATCATATGCCTCCAGGACGACAACGTCAGCATGCTTTCTGCATGAAGGTTAGGTGCTGATAGCGGCAGAAAGGACTGTGCATCCTCTCTGTGAATGTGTGGATCAGAGCATCACTAATGACCACAAACTGATTCATAAGCCTGAATTGTGAGCTGAGACATGTTATGTGCTACCCTTGGGAATGCAGAGAAATAATCCATTGCCTGTGGAAGTTTTCCAACCAGTGGAGAAGATAAGTTAGGCAAAAGTTTAACTGACATGGAATAATCATTACAATAATGAATGCTTACCTTCGAAATAGGTTGTGTCTCATGCTCCATTCCAAGCATTTTATAGTCTTGATTCTTTTGGCCCTTACCATCACCCATTTCACAAAGGGAGAATTGAATACTAGAGTTGTTCAATCACAAGCTTAATGGTTCTCAATGTTAACTACTATATCACATTATAAAATGAGGATAAGAGATTAAATGTGGATTATATTGTATAATTTTCTTCTTTGAACTCTGCAGATCTATGTCAAAAAGAAGCTTCCCAACCTCTTTAGGAGTGAAAGATGCTTCTCTTATGTCCTGTTTAATTACTGTCAACATGACACAACATGGGATCATGTTAGAAGAGTCTTAGGAATTATTCAGATCAAGTTTTTCCATGGGCACGTTGTTGGGGATTGACGGGATTGATAGCTGATGCTGGACAGTCTTAATAGTGGTGAAGTTAACTAATAGAGTATGGGCTTGACTCTGTATCTTCTGACCACAAATAAACAAAACCTCATCCTCTACCGTGTCTTGAGCACTAGCTGTAGTAAGAAGTCAAGGAGATCTAGGTTTAAATTATGAATCAAATTCCTACTGACCACTATGTCATCATTTTGAGCTTGAGGTCTTCCTCTGCAAAGCGGGTACTGAGTTTTCAGTCTGACTGATGTGAGAATTTAGAAATGAAAGGCATACTATCAACAGGCACATGGAAAGGATGTCCTTTAAGGCATTCTGCCTCTTTGCATTTTATATATATTTTTTTTTATTTAGACTTTGGTTTACTTGGTGAATTCTGATTATAACATTTATTCAGTCATTTATTTCAGACACCTTTCTTTCTTTAGAATGTTTGTCATTCTTTGTTCCTTCTCTTTGAGGCTTTTTCTTTTTTACAACCCCCATTAGAGAATAAGCCCAGTAGGTTCCCAGAAACACTGATGTGATGATGGATGGTCTGTTGGATCCTGGATGGGGAATGCACTGGCCTACTTAGATGCTTGCACATAATAAAGAACAGTGAGTCATCTGTGGGCAGAGCAGGTGTTGTCAGCTCCACATCTAGAAAAGGCCTTCATGGTCTGTGAAACACTGTGGCTAATGAACCAACACCGTGACCTTAACTAATCCTCTTTCCCATTAAAGGCAGTTGTAGATGTTCCCAGATCTGGCTGATACATTCTTTGGCTGTTGAGCAACTAGCAAACTTCATAGAAACGCAGAAAACAGGCATAAACAGAAAAGGAGGCATGAAAAAGGCCTCTCAAAGCCACCAGAATCTGTCCCCAAAGTCAACAATACTACATTTTTCCTCAGACTGTTTAATTTCTATTAGAAAGGTCCAAATCTTTGGGGAGTTTTTCAGTGACTAAGTTTAGGATATGGTGTACATTATCATGACCTAACAGTTTATTTAAGAATGACTTTTCTTTCGACCCACTGTATAGCTAGGCTGAGGATGACTTCAATAACCTTCTAATCTTGCTTCTTTCCTATAGAAATCATCCCTAAATGATCCATCTCAGCTTTCATGATGACCTTCTCTGGTGGATTCTGCTGGAGAAGGATGTCTCCTCATCCTAGCTCCCAAGATTCACAATAGAGGCTCAACTTCACCATGCATCTAATACACCATGACCTCATGTATACTTCCACGCCTCTCTTGTTCATCCTTCCACTCTGTTTTGAGTTCAACTCCTAACATTTGGAAAAGATGTTTTCAACTTAAAATGTCTTGTTCAATTCACTAAGACATTCCTTACATCTTGTTTCTGGTCCAGCTCTGTCTTCCCAGTACTGTCTGTGGTACTTCAGTTCACATTACATGCTAAGCTTCCTTTCATATCTTGGCTCTTTCCTTTTTTTACATTAGCAATTTTAATTGATACATACTTATAGAATAATATGTGATGTTGTAATACAAATAAACTTCTTATAATTTAATGAGAATAAACAAATTTATCTCCTCAAATATTTATCATTTTAATAAAAGTATACATAATTCCTTTTCAGATTTTTTGAAATGTATAGTACATTAGAACTCCTTTCTCCTATGTAATAGTAACTGAGCACTTGATGTCTTTCCTTTGGACTACTTAGTTCTCAATTCTTCCTTTAATCATAAAATTTTTTTATGTGTTATCTTTTTACTTTTCTGTTGTAATGCTGTTAACTACTGCCAGTTTCTGTGCCTTGCCTTAACTACTGCCAGTTTCTGTGCCTTGCCTTAACTACTGCCAGTTTCTGTGCCTTTCCTATCTTTGAAACCAGAAGCCAGGGCTTGGTTCACTCTTTCTGGATTTCTTTCTGGTCTAGCCTCTAACACAGCACTGTAGTCAGTAACACAGTTTAAATAAATATTTTATTATTCAGCTAGCTGAATCTTGTATTTAAAGTTTTCAGTTCTTTCTAAATATCTTTTTCTTCCTTCCTTTCACACAATTAATAAAAATCTTGGGATATTATGCTAGTATGTTTTATGACGTACAAAATTGTATTAGAAATTCCAAACAGAAGAAAAGGAGCACAAAGAGAATGAAGACATTATCATCTTCATAGGAGTGCTTTTACAGGGCATACCAGCCTTCAACCTTAAGTGATCATTTTGAATTAATGAAGGTGTTGCTGCTCCCACAAAAGGATTCTTCTCTCATTAAATGCTCACATGCCACAATCAAAGAGAACTCGTCACCTTGTATGTTGTACTGAGTTATTTATACACAAGAAATAATTTATGTGCTCCAATATTAATGAGTTAGCAATGAACCCTCAAATAAAAAATACATGACATCAAATAATATGGTAGATATTAAAGAAGTTGGCAAGGCTAGATGAAGTCTGACCTAGATCTGTCTGAAGCCCCAGAAACCATGATTAGATTCCAATAAAAATAAGATTGAAGAGAAGTAGACCGGGAAGACAGGAGACTTAAACAAGTGGGAGATTAAGGCATGATGTAGGAAAAGCAAGTGACAATTATGATTGTGTGAGGAATACTAAAAATGAAAGAGAGAAAAAGAGACAGCTCAGATGGGCAGGCCCAAGCTTCGAACTGCCATGTGGTTTGGTGTTAATCTTGGGAGCAGAAGGGAGTTAGAAGAATTACAAGAATGAAGTGTGTGTTAGACTGGTGGAAGAATGGAGGTAGAGACAGGCAACACAATAACTTCGCCATTCATCTCATGGGGAATTCTCCTTTAGCTCCTCTTTATGATTTCTAATTCTGTCAGGCACCTGTTTCATAGATAACAGGTATTATTTACTCATGAAATGAAACCAAGCCAGACATTCATGTGTAGGTTAGAACAAAAATAGAGATAGGCTGGTGGGCTTTGGAACTCATACTTTACCTGTGTTGCTCAGGTCACACAGGTAAAGGGCCTTTTCCAGCTTTCTGAATCTATCTATCCACAGCTCAGGTTCTTCATCCTCCTTCCTCACAGGCTGGCAGACTGACCTGTTCTTCAAGGATTGCACAGGCTCTTGTCGAGCTGAAGTCACAGGATGTTCTGGCCACAGATTCTTCTTTGGAGTTTTCTACCGAAACAACATAAACATCATACTGGCACACATTCGCTGCTCAGAGCTTCTTCAGACTCTTGGCAAAAGACGAGGCCACACAACTAGATTTATTGCAAGGTCTGGCTTTGGGAAACCAGGAAGAGTCTCACATATTTGGCAGCAGAAGGCTCTACCTACCAAGTTTTTGCTGAGTGCAAACATGGCAAGTTTTCCTTTCTTTGAAAAGGGTGACATTATCACTTTTATCTAGTTTGTTTTTGTTGCTGTTGTTGTTTTGTTTTGTTTTGTAACAGGCAAAGGACTTGAGACCTGGGTGACAGATCTGATGTCCTTCTCTAAGGATGTTAGAAGAATCTATAGGAAATGGGCTCTTGGAAAAACCACCACCTTCTACAGTTTGTGTTGAAAGATTGACTGGCACAAAAATAATGCTTGTGGGCCCAGTTTAAAGACTACCTCAGTGTCTCTTTAACTGTAACCTAATGAAGAAAATAGAAGTTCAGAAAGAACCAGAGACTTATAAGATAGGGCAAAATTATAAGCAAGGCATAGAGGTGAGGCTTAGCTCAATTCAATATCCTTGTCTCATGCGTACTACAGAACGAAGAGGTGCTTTTACAATAAAATAGACAAATGAGACCAAGTGGTGCCAAGTAAGGCATCCTGAGGCCTCTGTGTAGAAGGGCTGAATGTCAATGCTCTGATCTTTTGGGAAATTTGCCTTCCGCCTGTCCAGTCTCCATGGTTATAGAAAGAAGTACCATGTTCTGTTTGCTTTGTTTGGGACTGGGCAGCCAACGCAAAACAAGTAGTGTACCTATTGTCTAACAGAGAGGGTACTAGGAACATGAAACTCATAGTAAAGATAGGAAAACTTGCCCATGCTTGGCTCCTTAGTTTAGCTCATGATGCATTTCTGTCCATAAATAACAATAAAATTTCCCATTTTTCCAGTTAACTAAGCTAGTAGAGTTGGTTCTGTTCGTTGCAATCTAAAATGTTCATAACGCACCATAAAACGATCTGTACCATTTGCAACCTCCCAACTTTCAAATGTCTGAAACTTTGCAGTCATTTTCCTAATGCCGAACTTCTCACATGTAAATGATGAACACCCCAAACTCCTGCTGAAGAGCAGCTGTAACACGAAGCTTGTCTATGATCTGGGTAACAAACATGGATGAGGTTGCTCCTGGGAATGTGAAGATTTTTTTATTTTTTATTTTTTTTGCTTGAAACACTAGAACACTGCATGAAATTGCACTGACATAGTTGACCAGCAACTAGTAGATTTTTCAGGATGAGTATAAAATAATTCCTCTTTGATAAGATTAATTTGGGGACACAGAAAAAGTTTTCATATAGAAAACCAGAAAGATTATTCCTATGCATTTTTAGAGTTTGAATAACTTTAGAAATGGGGAAAGCTTTAGAAAAATCTGTTCATCTAATGAACTTGAATACATGGATACTTTCATTAAAAGCACCGTTTTGTTTTGTTTTGTTTTTAATTTTTTTGGATACTTTCTCACTCTGATAATTAAAGACAAAGGGAAGAGAGGCTTTGTGTGAACTCAACTTAGGCTCAATAAAGGAGCAAGTAACTGACATGTCCTATACCACTTTTCCCTACCAGGAGAAGTCCAAATTCCTTGGTTGGCCCAGAGAACATTAATGCAATTTTTGCTTATTTCTCCAGTTTATCCTTTTCAATCTTATATTATTTTTTTCTAGGCACATAGAGCTGAGGATGCTCTTTGCCTTCATAATGTTATTCCCTTTGTTACAGAAGCCCCCTTTTGATGCTTGTGCCTGGAATGATAGGGCTCCTGTTCAATTTTCAAGACCCATCTTATATCTTACTTCTTTTACTGCCTTGCTGAAAGGCTCAGCATGGGCAAGAATTTGGTCTCTCTCAACCCTTTGTCTAACAAGACACTCACCACTGCATACTATTTTTGTCTAAGTATCTCTTGCTCTAGAGATAGTTATTGAGATATCATCAAGGTCATATGAAATAGTTATTGAAAAATCTCCAAGGTCTAGCTAGTGGCTGACTGAGATTCTCAACACATTCTTGTTGAATAAATATGTCAATAGATGAATGAATGAATGGACATATGGATGGATTATTTTCACTGGTATAATAGAAAAGCTGTTCTATCAACACCCTGCTTCATCTTCTTTTTAAAAAGTGGGGCAATGAGGACTGCGTATACAAAGATGCGAGAAGAGTCAATTATCACAGAAATGCAAAAAAAAAAAAAAAAATTCAACAAGAGGCAAAATAAAAGAGCAAAATGTATTTTTTTAAAATCTTCTTCACAACAGACTTTACACTCGAAAAAAAGTGTTTGTGGTTGTTTTTTTGCATGGCAAGATGCTTGCCAAAATGGATAGTGTTTTCTAAAATATTTCCATGTATGAAGTGCATGAAGAGGCCTCACATCATCCTAAAATGAATTATGTTCTAACCCAGACATTTCAAAACAACAATAGAGACATTCATGCTACTTTTAAATTCTTCAGTATCTCCTGGTTAAATCCTGATTATATTAATATGACTTTTTAACCATTTGCTGCGCATTTATCTCTTCTTTGTTTTTCTTTCTTCTGCCTTTAAGAAAACTCAGAATATTAAAAAGCGATCCCTTGGAGAAAGGTCTCTCTCAGGTTCTGGATGCTGGAGATAAGATAGTAAAATAGTCTTCTGGTCACCTTTTAGTCTGATGACAATTGGTGGTCGCAGCTTTGGAAGCTCAACTCTGCATGTGCCAGAACAATTGCTTGGGACATATGGCAAGTCTGTCACTGAGCAAGGGCAAGGGGCTTCCAAACAGTCACTAGGTTAGGAGCTAACTGATATTCTAGGAGTTAATCTGCCTCCTTTTCTGTGTGAGGTCCTAAATTCAGTCTGACACTAAGCTGTAGAGTAGAAAGAAAGAGCTTGAAGGTGAATGCCCAGACCAGCAAGAGGTGACAGGATGGGGTCAAGGGACCTCAAGCCCACCCACCCCCAGTAGCTCCTCATGTCCAGCTGCATACCACATGCTCTGCCTTGCTTTGGGGTCTCTCAGGGACTTCAGCCAAGTCAGCAGGGCATTTCTTTTCACTCTTTCCTAAACAAGAGAAGGAGATGGAAGAAGGGTTGGACCAGGTATACACATTTAGCATAAACATATGTATGAGGCAAAGGCAATACCCTGGGCTCTGCTGTAGCAGGGTGAGTGGGTAGGAGGGCTCCTTTGTGTTAGGCACTGGGGAACCCTGGTAGATAAAAGGCCAGGTTCTTAACCTTGTGGATTTGAGAATGTGAGAGGGAGTGATAAATAATCTCCCAAATGTATTATTTAAATACATTACATTATTTAGATACATTACTCAGGAAGGAAATGTATAGAAAAAGGAAAACAGTGAAATTTATTCAGGAGCAGTGGAAGCAGTGGGAAGTGATTATTTTTAAAGGAAATTCAACAACTGGTGATTAGAAGGATGAGCAGGAGTCATCTGGACAAAGGCATGGCAATAGTGCCCATGAAGCAGAGGTGTGGATCAGCCAGAGTACAACCTGTGGAAGAATGGACCACAAAGGCCCAAGCAGCTTAGTGAGGTGGACACTGTGGCTCTGTCTCCTGTGAAGCAAGCGCCGATACCCCTTTGACCCTCAGGTGTGTGAGCACCTCACATTCCCAGGCTGCCTTCATGGATAAAAGCAACCTGCTTTAGATGCAGAGCCACCTTCTGCTTTGTCCTCCGAAGCCTAGGGAGGACTTCACTGATTCTAAACCCCCGTGACTATGCCGTAGTACCAGGTGAAATTTAAATATGTCACTGAAAAAAAAAAGCATTAGTTCTCAGTTGCTCCACACTATTTTCAATAAAAGGGAACCCAAAACTTTTACCCAATGTTGGGAGGAGGCATTGTAACACAGTGGGTGATATTATCAGTTCTGAGGCTAGAAGTCTTGGGTTTAAATCCTGGCTGTTTTGTAAGAGCCCTGATCTTTTGGTGCCTACTCATTTCTCTATTCCTTAGGCCTGCTGCTGACAGAAAGAGTAGACCTTGGGTGATGGTTAGGACTAAATGGAATTACCTAGAGCACAGCAAGTGTACAGTGTGTTAAAACAGTTTAGAGTGTTTCCTAAAGTTCCACATCAGGCTTAAGTCCCCTTTGTAATAGACTATTAGCATTCCGTCTCTGGATCATTATAAACTCCCTTCAATTTTTGTATGTTTGTGAGGTTTCACATACAGAGGACACACGGGTGTACATGTTTGTGTGTGTGTGTGTACAGATGCACTGCGAACATGAGTGTGTTGTGTGTGAAGGCCAGAAGCATCTTTCTCAGTTACTCCCTGCCTTATATTTGAGACAGGATCTCCCCCGGTTTCCAGAATTCCCCAGTTGGGTAGACTGACTTCTTATCTTCACTCCCAGCCCAGTAGTTACAGCCCAGTGGCACCCTGCTTTGCCAGGCTTTTTTAAAAAACAAACAAACAAACAAACAAACAAAAAACATTGGTGTTGAGAACGAAATTCATGTGCTCATGTTTATGCAACAAGCAATTTACCAAATGAGACATCTCCCTAGCACTTCCTCAGTTTTTTTTTTATATTTTATATTTTTAATTTATTTTTTATTACTTACAATTTAGTTAATTGGTATACCAGCTGTAGCCTCTTCCCTCATTCCCTCCTAAACACATCCTCCCTCCCTCTTCTCCTCCTATGCCTTTTTCCAAGTCCATTGATAGGTGAGGTCCTCCTCCCCTTCCATCTGACCTTAGCCTACTAGGTCTCATCAGGACTGATTACATTGTCTTCGTCTGTGGCCTGGTAAGGCTGCTTCCCCCTCAAGGGGGGAAAGAGCCAGCCACTGAGTTTATGACAGAGACAGCCCCTGTTCCCCTTACTAGGGTACCCACTTGGAGACCGAGCTGCCATGGGCTACATCTGTGCAGGGGTTCTAGGTTCTAGGTCCTTGGTTGGAGTATCAGTCTCAGAAAAGACCCCTGGGCCCAGGTTTTTTGGTTCTGTTGCTCTCCTTTTGGAGCTCCTGTCCATTCCAATTCTTTTATCTCCCCTTCTTTCATAAGATTCCCTGCACTCTGCCAAAGTCTGGCTATAAGTCTCAGCATCTGCTTTGATACCTTGCTGAGCAGAGTCTTTCAGGGGCCCTCTGTGGTAGGCTCCTCTTCTGTTTCCTGTTTTCTTCTTCTTCCGATGTCTATCTTATTTGCCTTTCTGAGTGAGGATTAAACATCTTATCCAGGGTACTCCTTGCTGAGCTTCTTTAAGTGTATAGATTTTAGTATGTTTATCCTATATTATATGTCTAATATCCACTTACGAGTGAGTATATACCATGTGTGTCTTTCTGCTTCTGGGATAACTCACTCAGGATGATCTTGCAGGAAATGATGGGAACTAGAAAATATGTTCTTAAGTTTTTTGATGGAAAAGATAGTGTGATTTCGTGTTCACCTGAAGCCTCATCACCCAGTGTGAGAACAGTCCTCAGTGCTTTCCGACAGTGAATGGCTAGGTGTTTTTATGGGGCATTTGGAAGATAAAGTTATTAAATATGTAGCTCCTTTCTCCAACTCCTTTTCCAGTCCTTTCTCCAACTCCTTTTCCAGTCCTCTGAGAACAGAGATGTGTTCTCTTTATTTCTTTATCTCTCATAACCTACTCAGATACCATAGAATAAATCTACATTGATGCTGACTGATGATCATGATGGCAGTCCCTTCAAGACAAGTCTGAACAGGTCTGTGGACAATTTAAGTTATCATGGGAACCCATGAAAACCTACTTGCACTGAGATCTGCTCACTGCACCATTTATGAAAGAAAATGTTTGCTCTTTATTGCAAAAGAAAATGCTTCAGATTACTCTTAATCACACATTCACATCTCCCTCCCACACACACACAGAGAGAGAGAGAGAGAGAGAGAGAGAGAGAGAGAGAGGAGAGAGAGAGAGAGAGATTTAGAGTTAAAGGGACTCTAGAAGCTCTGTATGACATAAAGGTAGGGATGTTGACTTATGGTCAGACAGACCTAAACACTAACCCTGCATTTTTTCTTATAACAACTGTGAGCTTCTCGATGTGTCCTTTTATTTGTGAACTTCCAGGAACTTGCCATACTATCACTAGGTGAAAATTAGGTATATAAAATATTCAACAAGGGAAGGTGCTCAATCTTAGGCACACCTCATTTTCTCACAGGAGAGATTTACCATACAACATGCCAACTATTTTTCCTGGGCACCAGTTAATGCATGACACGTTTTAGAATAAGATCTAGAACCTAGATTTGTCTCTGTTTAGGTCTTTCTTGCTGTCTGAACTTTTCAATGCTCTCTTAGGAAAATATATGAAACTCTATTTGGTTTCTATTATGTTTTACTCTTTTTCTTCATCATTGCTGATGGTATATACTAAGGTAATTGCTTGCATATGTAAACGTTGTTTGAAAGACCTGTGCTGGATAGCTCTCTTTATTTCTTCTTCTCCCTAACGCAGCAGGAAGGGTAAATGAGAACCATCTGTGTAGTCAGCCAATAGAAAGATTGCACTGAAGAAAATAAACCCCACTACCTTCTAGAAGTTTCCAAGTCTGAGATGGATGAGGATTTATTAGGTGGCCAGGGGACTGTAATATTCACTGTAATGTCCATCCCTTTTGTTTGTTTTCCCCATTACTGAAATCAGTGCTGTTTGTTGCTGGTTGTACCTTAGCTCAACTCAGAGAGCTTTAAAAAAAGACCAATGCTCAAGTGTCTCACTAGACCAATTAAATTCTGATTTCAGCCAAGGAGAAACTAGCACAACACTTTTTAAGTGTATTCTCTAGGTGATGCTAAAATGAAACAAGGTTGAAGGCTTTTGACTGAAATAAAAGCTTCTGGATTCATGGGTCCTAAAGAGTGAACCTTGTGTGATCAGCAAACTAACCCATTGAGTGTTTATCGATGGGAGGCATTTACCAAAATTTAAAGGATAACTATACAAGGTAGAAATTACCTATATTCAACAGGTTAACTAAGATGATAAATTTTCACTTGTTTGCTTAATAGCTGAGGTAACTGTAAATATATTTCCAATTCATTCACTCATAGAGGACAAACTAGTTAAGTGCTCACTAGAAGTCAACACAACAGTGACCAAGACAAGCTCTTATTTTTCCTCATGAAGTGTGCATTCTAGTTTTGAAGCCAGAAAAGAGACACACACCGACATCAGGTATGATATGTGTTATCAACAGAACTAGACCCAAGTTCAAGAGTGAGAACCACTAGAATCATCAAGGAGTTCACTCCAGGACTCTGAAGAAATCACAATTAGGTAGAATACTAAGTAGACAAGAAACGAGAGTGCAAGCCAGGCAAGTACCTGGGGAAGGAGCACTGGGAAAGTTAAGGAAAGGCAAAGGCTCTAAAAAGCAATGTTTAGCGTATTCAACAATGATGGCAAGGGGAGAGCTAAGATAGCACAAGGCAAAGGTGGAAAAACAAATTCTCAGTTATAAGACTCCTGGTAGAGCCTTGGCACTGATGCAGGTTTCTGACTATTTAGCTTCTAGCCCACACTCTTTCCCTGCTGAGTCTCCTCTTCCTTTTTTTTTTTTTCTTTTGGAGACAGAAACTATATTTTGCTTTGTAGGACCACTCAACTACTATTCCAGTGTACTATGATTTGGTAGGTTTGATCTCCAGTTCCATTTCTGAGAATGTTCTAGTTAATCTAGACAATATCCTAATCTAACCACAGTCTTTTTTTGTCTCAAATCTGGACATCAAATTGAAGTTGAGCATCTGATAGGAGAGGAAATATTCTCTAATTCTCTCTCTCTCTCTCTCTCTGTGTGTGTGTGTGTGTGTGTGTGTGTCTGTGTATAAGCACTCATGTAGGTGTCCATGCAAACTGCAAAAGGGCATAAGATCTTCTATGGCTGGAGTTATGGGTGGGAGGATGGGAGTTGCCCTACATTGGTGATTGGAACCAAAGAGTAGTTCTCTATAAGAGCAGCAGGCTCTCTTCACTCCTGAGACAGCTCTCCAGCCTTTCCTGTACATTTCGTGCATAATTTTGACTAGTATGCTCAATTACTTTTAATTTTTATCTATGCTTCAATCTGTGTATTTTCTATTAAACTACAGTCAATCTCACAAATCCTTTCTTCATTTTATACAGACATCTCCTATTATACATATCTATTAAAATTACATCTACTTTGTGTATTTTTCAGTTTATGTCTTCTGTTGAGTCCTTATTACAGACTGAAATTCCTTGCTACCGTCCTCGATTTTGCTACTATTGTCTCACTCAAAACTTGAGAATATTTCATCATCCCTCATCATCATAGATCAAGTGATCTAGAAATGGAAAAAAAGAAAACCTATCACATTAAAAATCAGTAAGCATGAGGCCGTAACACATTGCAACAACAGCAATACTACTCTGCCAACTCTGTTGCTCTACAGTGACTAATGTTCTCTGCTCTGTTGTCAGACTCACGGTGACTATAAAGACCTAATAGAATCTTTGTCTCTAGCATGTGCACTCACTTCTCTCACTTTATTTTAATGATGATAAAGACACACCAGCTTCAAAACTAATACTTCAGCTATGACGTGTGCTACTGGATGAATTGTGTTTCTGTAGCATTTGTATCCTGATACTCTAATGCCAGAGAGCTTGGAGTATAACTGTATTTTAAGGTAGTGCCTAAAGAAACTGAGGCAGTTTAGATACATACCAACACAATCTAACCAGTGGCCTTCAAAGAGAAGGAAGCATGGACATAGAAAGGTGTCAGGATGCATGCATGCAGAGGAAAACCAAATGAATATGTAGTGAGCATTTACCTGGCGCTAAGGAGGGGCTGAGCTGCTATGCTGTTCATCATTCTCAACAGCAGTCATGTGTGAACATACGGCACATGACACCCATTTATTGGTCTCAGTACTATAACATAGTGTTCTGTGTGAGATACAAGGACAGAGGTGCTCTGTGGTAGGCTGCTGTCTTGTTCCTTGTTTTCACCCTCTTGCAATGTCTATCCCATCTGTCTTTCTGAATGAGGATTGATCATCTTACCCAGGGTCCTCCTTCTTGTTTAGTTTGTTTAGGTGTAGAGATTTTAATATGATTATCCTATATTATATGTCTAATATCCATTTATAAGTGAGTATAAAAATATATCTACTGTACATTCACTCTATACCATTCATCCTTATTTCAAAATTATCAAAATATGAAGAAAAAAATTAAAGCATACCTGACATTGTTAGAACACATCCCAGAAACCCAAGTTTATTGCTTTTACAAGTATGCTAGATATTACAAAGTTGTTAATCCAAGATATGTAGGGAAGGAGCCAATACGATCTTTGGACAGTTTATTTTCAGATTTGCTTACTGTTACTAAGGGCTAAGAATACAACAGTGGTTGTGCTATCCCTTCTTAAATGAGAGAGTTGCTTTGTCTTTCAAAGTTGAGAAAGATCTCATATTGAACCAAGCCTGTGATAATTCTGTGATCTGTTAACAACATCTGTCACAGAAATAAATATGGCTCACAAAATAAATCAATCATTTCTAGCTCAAAGAAAAAAGAAATACAAGAACAGTAATCTTACAAACTATGTGGCACGTTAATACCCAGCAAGTCTGGGGAATACTTTCTAGAGTTCCTTGATTTTTCCTTAGAGATACCTGATTAGGTGTGTAAGAACACTGCATTCTAGACTGTTCACATAGCATGCCAATCTGTATTATGCTTTCTCCAGCCCCAAGAATTAGAAATGTTTCTTAGTCACTCGGGTCCTGGTTGTTCATATTTCTCCCAAGTGATATTTTCAACTTCTCCCCTGGGTATCTGTGAGTTTGTCTTATTGGAAGGAATTATAGACATAATCAAGTTTAGAACAGTTAGACCTTCATAAGAGGAAGGAGAAGGTATTTGGGCACATAGATCCAGAGGAAAGAGAAGAAGGCCAAGAGCAGAGAATGGAGCCATATGTAACAGGCTAAGGGAAGCTTAAAGATACTAGAAGCTGAAAGAGGCAGACATGCTTCTCTAGAGACTTGACACTCATATTTAGTAGTTTGAAACTTCAGAACTACGACTGAATCATTCCTTACTGTTTTAAGTCCCAAGGTTGTGAGATTTTATTATAGAAGTTGGGAACCTGAATACATTCTTCATACTCTTATTTGAACTTTTTCAGACTCTGATTTATATATGACTAATGCCCTGTTCCTGATTCCATGTTTGAAATAAATCTTGGGTTATTTTTTCTTACTTGGATATAGACATATATATTCATCCCAAATCAAAACACACCATACACACTTAGTACCTTGCGCTGTCATTCACAGGAGTTTCTGGATATTTAGGCAGCGAAATCCTAGCAATAGATTAATATAAATGCTTATTTTTACCTGTCATATTTAAGCTTGCTAATTGCTAAATATTTTTCCTTATTCATCTTTATAATCTTATTAAATAATATGTCATGAAAATTGTTCTGTAGCAGCCCAGTCATGTTGTTTTACAACTCCACAATTTAATCAACTGGTTTTACTTTAATTTAATCAAATGGTCTCTAAAGGCTCTTTTTATTGCTTCCTATTTTAAGACACTTATAAAAGTTGTTGCACTAAACATATATCTATATACACATGTATATTTGATAGCTATGTATTTATATGTTTGGTAATTTGCCAGCCAAATAAATATCTACTTGAAGGATTGATAGATCAAAGACATTGCTCCTAAATTTTAAGACAATAATATCAACTTCCTATGTTAGTATGCTAGATTCATGGCAGTCACCTCAACAGCCAAAATACACAGCTTGGAGAATCATGCTTTTTATTACCAATTATACTAAAAGAATAGTTTTTTTAGTATTAGACTGAAAAGGTAATTTTCAGTCCTACCTTTTTCTTCACTGACTATTTTTGGGAAGAATGACATAAAACACAGCTACATTTGCTGAGGAGCAAAAAGACCAGGACTCACCTGTTGGCACATCATGTAACAAATCGGAAGATGCCCACTTCAGCCACTTAACAAAGTTCTGCCACCTGTGTAAGAGATGGAGACGAGATTTGAGTGATGAGATGTAATGCTCCCACTACTTTGGAAGCATGCACATTGAAGCTGAGTTTTCCTGGTTGGTAGCAATACTGAAAAGAGTCTTGAAATCAGTGTAGAAAACAGAGATTACTTTAGGTACATCTGTTAGAAATGACTTTGGTACAAGAAATTAGATGCTCTCAGAGCTATGGCAGGAGCTGAGTGTGGTGGCTAGTCATCCATCCCAGAATACCAGGGATAGGATCAAGAGGTTGCAGCCAGCCTCGGTGGTGCAGGGACTCACTATCTAACAAACACACACACAATAGTGGACCCTGGGTTAGAAACCCACCATCCCCAAAACAAACAAATTATTGCCAAGGCCAGCAAACTAGAGACTGGAGTCTATTGCTAAGCTCGGGGCATTCAGAGACCGGGGGACTATGAAAAAATCTGGCTAATACCACAGTTACCTCCAGCCTTGAAATCAGTGACTATTATGACATTAGTAAAAACTAGCCAGTTTTTTGCATTGTTACTGCTACAGCAAAAAGAGTAAGTCCATGACCTGTCTGTGGTCACCATTCTGCCCACGTTTCTACCTCAAAATCTTACACATTTACCTCTCAACGACAAGTTAAATCAGTCATGACATCTTCAGGGCAAGTGGTTATTAGAAACATACCTTTTTGCTGTCACAACTGTGGAAAGAATTGCAATACTGAACAAACATAGAAGATGGAAGAGTTACATGTGCTGGACTTAGACAATATTTAATAAATTGCCCAAGAAGAAATTGTGTTGGGGAATAATATATCACAACTGAAATCAGTCATCTAAAACTTGAAATGATCTAGCAAAGCTTTGGTAGTGGAAATAATTTATGTTTGCTTGCTTACCACCCATTTATATGTTATATAAATACATTTTTTTCTATGGCAGTAAGAGATGCCTGGTTTCCTTTCATACTTTTATATAGTGTGGTTAGGACTACAGTCAAATATCCATATCCTTCTCAGCTAAGGCTGCGACCCACCTACCTGTATTTTTTTTTAAATTCATTCTTCTCACTTCTCTCCCACCCTGTGTCTCTCTTTTAATCTCTGTCATCAAATTTGTTTCTGGCCCTTACTGATTGTTTATTTTCTCCTATTATTATAAGTCATTTCATGTTATTAACACAAAGACTCAAAACTGGTCAAGGTATAGAGAATAAAAGACTGCCAAATGTACAGCTCTAAATGATATGTCTGTTACACCTCCTCCTCCCAAGTTTCAGTCTTCACTGAGAAAGAGGGGTTGGGAAGATTATAAGAGCCAGAGGAAGTAGCTGAGTAAAAGGGAATAAAATAGAGCAGTTTCACGTATAAATTCACAGCAGCCGAGAGAGTGTGTGTACAAGATCTACACAAGTTCAAGCCAGGCAACATCCTAGCATGGGAGAGGAGGAGGGATGAAATCTGACCCTGGTGGTTTGGCCAAACTCCAGTGAAGGCTACCCACTCAAGAGTATACAGGCAGCCCAAGTTAGACTTTATGCAGGGAAAGACAGGGCACAGTCGGGTGGGTGGGATGTGGGAATGAATCTAGTAGGAGATAGGGAATGAAGTGATTATGATGAAAATACATTGAGTGAAGTTCTCAAGGAACTAGTAAAATGATGAAAAAATTTATATTTGTTCATGGTGGTGATAGACAGCTTCTGCTGCTGGAAAACAAACTGCAAATGGAGAGAAGTTTTGTTGCTGTCTCACCCAGCCAACTGAGATGGAGAGGAAGTTGGCAAACATGTGTCTTAGGTTTGCTAACGTTATATGATTTTATTCTACGTAAGTAGAAGTGATATGTTAAATATGAAACCAGTTTGTTTTGTTTAGACCTCATAAACCTTTTCCTGTACATGGGTTGCATGTCAGAAACCTTCTTTGATCAACATGTGTATTCTGATAGGAGCTTTGAACATGTGGCCTCCAGAGCTCATGTGAGGAAGAGATAAGCCATGATTTGCAATACTGCAACCTGAACATCTGGTGACTACAGGCCTGAGAAAGTAAAAGCTGGAGGATATAAGCTCCTGTGAGGAGTGATAATAATCATACAAGCATCAGGCATTAGCTTAGATCTGGAAACAGACTGCAGTGGATTTGTTTTTTTTTTTTAATATAATTTATTTATTACAATTTATTCACTTTGTATCCCAGCTGTAGCCCCCACCCACATCCCCTCCCAATACTGCTATCCCACCTTCCCTCTACTCCTTCCATGCCCCTCCCCCAGCCCACTGATAGCGGAGGACCTCCTCCCCTTCCATCTGACCCTAGTCTTTCAGGTCTCATTAGGACTGTCTTTCATAGTCTTCCTCTGTGGCCTGGTAAGGCTGCTCCCCCATCAACCAATAAATGGATTTGTTTTTGAAATTTTCTTCACTGCAGCTGTTTAGACACTTCAGAAGTGCAGACATATGCATCTTCCAATCTTCTAAAAATAAAGCATAATAACAAAGAGCCTAGATAGTCACAGACTGGATTTCATTTGTTCTTCAGAGCTGTCAGAAAATGTTAGACCATGTTCTTTCAGATATCAAGAAGAGAAGGGCCAGAGAGATGGTTCAGTCAATAAAGGACTTTGCTGTATAAGACCAGTAATTTGAACTTGATATCAAGAACCCACAGTGGAAGGAGAGAACTGATTTCCAAAAGTTTCCCTCTGATGTCTACAGGAACACATGCACACCTGATCCAGAAGTGGAGTCTTACAACTTTGAAGACCTTTGTTTTTCACTTTGAAATTATGGACATTATTTCAGTGTCTACTAACATTTACTCCGTAGAAGTCTGAGGTCAGTGTGACTTTTATTCATTTATAATTAATTTTTTATTTTATTTTGTTTTTAGTAAAGATCTTTGTAAAATTTTGCTTGTCTTTATAATGCAAATTCTCATTGCTATATACAAACTCATAGATACATTTTTTCTTAATTTAGATTAGATCATAGGTAGATCCTATAATTTGTATACATGTGGCTCTTTCTTGCCAGCTCTGCAAAGTTTCTTTAGTTGGTGCTATCCCTTGGCTATGGCTTGTGTGAGTCATCTAAGGTTTACGTACTTGATTTTTATTCTGCAGCATGACAATGTTGAGGCAATAAAATCCTTGAGAGATGAAACCTAAAGGAAAGTTATTAGGCACCAAGACTGTTGTCTTTAGAAAATATTAATATAGTTCTATTAATATAGGGGATCCTGGTAAATTCCTTGACAATTAGTTGTTATGAAATTAACAATATTGCTCTTCCAACTCAATGGCTTTATGTCCTGCTATGCAATCTCTCTTTCTTGAGTGCATTTCTGCCACAATGCCATCTTTCATGTTATGTTACAGAAATAGAAGGAGGCCTTCCAGGGGCCCTGCTGATGAAGGCACCTGGTTTTGCATTTTCAGTCTCCAGTGCTTTCACCAAAATTCACTTAAAAAATAGCAGAGAAATTCAGAGTCTTTTGTTGTATCACCGCAAAATGGGCTACCATAATCAGGACTTCGGTTTTTAGTTTTTTTAATCTGTCTTTAATTTCCCATAATGCCAAGTCAATTTAGGTTGAGCATTTGTTCTAATCTTGTTTCTACTATTCTCTGTCTATTTTTTTCCTAGTAATTTTTAGTAGGTTCTGCAGAAGCCCTGTAAGTTTGACATTGCAAATTAGATTTTTCTCATATAGATGTTGCTTTTTTTTTAAAATTGATTCCTAGTGACCCTTAATTCTCCTTGAGAGGTGTGGTTTCCATGAAATCAGCCATACTTCTCCATGTTCTTCATGATTTTATCCAATAATCTTTAATTCTTTTTAAGTTACGATTTTTCATTTGTTTGACTCACAATGCTTATTTGCTTTCCAATTAATATCAACAGAATTCATGGTTTTTGCATCTTCAAAAGAACAGCAAAAATTTCTTAATCTTTTCTAGCTTTTAGAGTCGAAAAATTTTCAAAGTGTTGTTGAAATTTACAGCTCATATGGTTACACGTCCTTTCCCATGTTCTGCAGTGGATTTTTTATTTTAGCATTTAAAATTTTCTTTTAAAATTTATTTGTAATAGCCAGAAGCTGGAAATAGCCTAGATGCCCCTCAACTGAAGAATGGATGCAGAAATTGTGGTACATCTATACAATGGAGTATTACTCAGCAATGTAAAATAAGGAAATCATGAAATTTGCAGGTAAATGGTGGGACCTGGAAAGGATCATCCTGAGTGAGTTGTCCCAGAAGCAAAAAGACACTCATGGTATATACTCACTCATATAAACATACAACATAGGATAAACCCACTAAAATCGGTACATCTAAACAAACTAAGCAAAAGAGAGGACCCTAACTAAAACGCTCAATCCCAATCCTGAAAGGCAAAGAGGATGGACATCAGAAGAAGAAGAAAACAGGAAACAACCTCGGAACCTGCTACAGAGGGCCTCTGAAAGCTGGAAGAAGAAAACAGGAAACAACCTAGGAAACCTGCCACAGAGGGCATCTGAAAGCCTGTGCCCTGCAGACTATCAAAACAGATGCTGAGCCTGATGGCCAACTGGCAGGCAGAGTGAATGGAATTTTATGTAAGAAGTGGGAAATAGCAAGAGCTGGAGAGGACAGGAACTCCACAAGGAGAGCAACAGAACAAGAAAATTTGAACACAGGGAACTTCCCAGAGACTTATACTCCAACCAAGGACTATTCATGGAGATAACCTAGAACCCCTGCACAGATGTAGCCCATGGCAATTTAGTGTCCAAGTGGCTTACATAGTGATGGGAAGAGGGACTGCCTCTGACATAAACTGATTGGCCTGCTCTTTGATCACATCCCCCTGAGGGGGGAGCAGCCTTACCAGGCCACAGAAGAAGACAATGCAGCCATTCCTGATGTGATCTGATAGACTAAGATCAGAAGGAAGGAGAGGAGGACCTCCGCTATCAGTGGACGTGGGGAGGAGCATGCATGAAGAAAGGGGAGGTAGGGTGGGATCGGGAGGGAAGGAGGGAGGGGCTTATGGGGGGATACAAAATGAATAAAGTGTAATTAATAATAATAAAAGAAAATTAAATTATTAAATTAAATTAATAATAATAATAAAAGGAAAAAAATATTTGTAGTGTAACCTAACAGATACAATCTGTCGAAAGCACCTGGCCCAACCACATACAAGCTTTTCAGAACTGCTGGACTTGAAGGAAGATGACTAACGTATGTTGGCTACAGCCTAAAACTGGAGCTGGGGAGCCTGCATCAACTCAGCGTTACTGGTGAATTTGTTTATCAGGTGCATGGTGGTTTTGGTGTCTCCATGCCTCCTCAGTTTCCTCATTTGGAAAATAAAATAGAACCTACCCTTAATTCCTAGCTGTTATGGGAATTAAAATTTAAGAAAGCACTGGAAATATTGCTTGGAATTTATTAAGTTCTATGCATTTTCTCTATAGAGAAACACTATCCACTTTATCAGCAGTCTCATCATTATTAAACTGTGGACTGGAAGCTGGGTTTGCAATCTAACACTGAGCCAAAGGCATACCACAGCAAATCTCTAATAGTTTTTTGCTTAACACTTTTCCTGTTCTCCTTAAGCAGCAGTTGCTGAATAAAACACCTCATGTTTCCTTTATCTCCTCAAATCCTCTGCTTGTCCCCAGGATTGGCAAAAACAGTCCTTTCCAACCTAACTCCATTTTCAATAATGGGCCAGATGTGTGTGGTAAGTCCTACTTGTGGCTATGTCAATTGTGCTTGTCTATTCAGGAAGCCGCCATTGCAGCTTTATTATTTATCTCCTCCCCCAACACAATTTGGCTCTTGTATGCGTGTTCTAAACTGCTTTGAAGCATTTAATTTTGCCAATATAATTTTAGAGTATTAGATTGCCTCCTGTTCTTTCTCTGCCCTCCTTAATTACCATTTATTACAAAGTCACATAGAAATATTAAATGTGAATTCTGACTTCCATTTCCCTGGCCAAGAACAAGGATAATAATTTCCATCCAACACAACCTGAGCTCATTTTACATAAGGGTGATTCAGAGTGGAGATTAGAAATTGTAATCAAGTCTTCCTCACAATCGCCTTATCTTGGCAGTCATTCACTAATGTCTCTGCTAATTGTTAGGAAAATGGAAAGATAAAAACAAAATCTCAGAGCTTAAAAAATTTATTTAAAAATCAAAAACAGAAAGACTATTTTTGTTACAGGGCTGGCAAATTTGCTCTTCTTGTCAGCTCTTGCTACATGCTAGTTTAAGAAGGGAACACAGCTCATTTTATTTGGCTGGATGGGGCTAATCCCACATCACCACAATCCCTCCTGATGTTTTATTGATTCTAGAGGACATTTAATCAGGAAGCAGCTCAGCAGTAGAATCCTGCTAATTAGCAGACAACCACATTCCGAATGGCTTCCCAATTGAACGCAGATTAATGGACAATATGTACTAAGATAATGATTTGAGCATTCAGCTCCTAAAATGTGTGCCTAAATTACATCTTTAATCTCTTAAGGATACAGGTTTGCATACACAGCCCATAATGGAATGGGTTTAATTCACAGAAGAAGCTTTAGCCAATGACTGTTTAGAGATGAAATAGGCTTATCTCTTATAAACACATTTTTCTTTGATTCTCATAGTGGTGATGTCCTAGAATATTCTAAGGTCTGAGATAGCAATCTCTGCTATCTATCTATATTCCAGATCCCTGCAGTGTGGGTTCTGCCTTAGTTGTGAATCCACAATATCAATGGAGTCTTTCCTATGTCCTATCTATAATGTGAACTTTGTTGTTTGATTTTTCTTCTTTTAGAGTAAACCCACTTTGAAAATCTCCTTTTGGTTTCTACTCTGCTTCTAAATCATCTTTCTGCCTTTGCAGCTTAACCATCTCTAAGGAAATGTTCATGTCCAAAACCGGCCATAGAAGTTCATGCACTAGGTTGGACTCTTAAACTCATTCACTTATTCATTGCTCTTCACATATTGTTCCTTATTTCTCCTTGTAACCTTGTGATATGCCAGAATATTTTAACATTGATTTCTCAGTCCATCTGGAAGATATATTTCTGTCAAAGGGGCTTTGTTTTCCTCATAGCTGCACTTCCAGTGTCTAGAAGTAATAGTATGTTGCTGGCTCATCACAAATGTTTGTTAAATGAATCAACAAGGTTCTCAGATATGTACTGTGTGTCTACCTTGTGCCACATTGTAGGTTAATGCTGTCATCATTTAGTGTGAGAAAAGCATCTATGTTTCTTGTCAGAGGGGGATCATTGCATAGACATAAATAAAGAAGCCATACAAATAAAGCCATGATTCTAAAGAGTGCTAGGAAATAAAAGGACTAGGTGCTGTTAGAGTGTTTAGTACAGTGAACTTGATTTTGTTGAGATGGTTAGGAAAAACATCCTTCAGTTTCACCATGCACTGAGGGCTAGAAATATTTTGAGATAACTTCTCTCCTAACTCAGTTCAAGTACATAGATATTTATTAGCATAATCATTATTGCTTTAGACATTTGGGATACAGAACTGAAATAAATAATGAATCTGCTTGCCCTATGGCACTGTAGTTTACTGTTTACTACAATATGGCAATGAGCATAACACAAAAAAGTAAGTTATTTTACATATTAGGAGTAGATGGGGCTCGGGGTGACATTGCACTCAGGATGGAATATATATATATATATATATATATATATATATATATATATATGCACACACACACACACATGGGACATTGAAAATATAATTTGGGAGTTTTGTAGAGCAAATAAAAGGAAAGCAGGTAAAGGGGAGAGAGTGCGAGATTAAAATTCTTAACAAAGTAATAGTATAGCCCACATAAATTGAGTCCTAAGACGTTTTCTGTCCTTTTCTTCCCAGTGCTATGAGCAGTTTCCTAAATCTATACATCAGCCAGTACCTATAAGAAACCTTGAAAGTGACTCTTTAAAAGCTCCAGAAGTCCCTGGGAATTTGTGCTCCATATTCTTGGTAGTGTGTGCTACACCTCTCTTGTTCTTCCTAACCTTAAACTCACTCTTATTTGCTCACTGAAAATTCCAGCCTTAGCTTTTCCTTTTCCTATGCATCAAGCTAAGTCAATTTCATTGTTTTCCTTTTAAAAATAATCATTGTCTGATGATGATGCTTGACTCTCAACCTTTGCAACACTGTCTCATCTCTTTGAGCTTATCATTTAGCTGTTATGTGGCATGTCAAATAAAGGCTGCAGTGGTTCCTAAGGGCTGAAAGAAGAAATTTCCTACTTCATGTTTTTACAACTGCTGAGAAAATTTTGTCATGTGTTTATTATATATATATCCAATATCTATGTGCACACACATGCGTGGAGGACAGATGACAGTTTTTGAGACCTGGTTTTCTCATTCTATCATGTGGGATCCAGGGTCTGAAGTCAGGTTATCAAGCTGGCAGTAAAGGCCTTTACTGTCTGAGCCATTTTCCCAGCCCATTTTGGTGTTAGTAAAACGATCACTTTTTGATCCAGCGGTCAAATGGTAGAAATTGATTGCCTCCCACAGGAAACTTGTTCTCCAAAGGCATATCTCTGTACTTGGCATCCTCATAGAAGACCATGGGGATAAGAAGTTGTTATAGCTTCACAAACAGCACACACCACAGTAGCCAAAGTGTCCAACATCTAACACTGGTTTTCTCATGCTTCTGAGATGACAAAAAGCTTTCTTTCTGCCTTGTAGATGGCTCCCACTTTCTATTTGTGTTTTTGTATGGTAGAGAGCAGAGGAAGCTTTTTTTCTTATTTTCTTGGAAATATACAATTTCTTCCAGGGTGGTCCAACTTCATTTAAATTTAGTGACCTTCTAGGGCCTTAGACCCTAGAATCAACATATTGAGAATTAGGACTTTACCATATTTTCATTTTGATGGGACACAAACATAAAAATTCAACTTACTTTATTTCACATTGGTAACCCAAGTCTGGGTGGTCAGTCAACATTTCCAGCAGAGTCAAGGTTAGGTACAATCCATGTTTGCCACATACAGCCCTGACCTATTAATAAGAATGGAAGCTTCAGTAAGATGGAATTAGTGTTTTAATTTTTTCCCCACTATTATAGCCAATATGATCGTATCATAGAATTATTGCTCAGGTGTATAGTCTGACATTGAGGTATCATTCTAGAAAAGACTTTCCAGATCAGTGCTTATAGGTAACAAACATATTCACTGGACAGATGTGTGTAGTTTATTTTCCAGAAGCCACTAGTCTTTCTATTACTGATCTTATTTTTTTGTCAACCCATGTGTGGTTAAAGCCTAGAAATAATTTGCCCTTCTTTCTGCTGATGAATTGTAAAACATTTTTATCACTTACTTTGATTTGTAGAAGCAAGTGTGTTGTATTCATGGTTAATGTCATTGTTTTATTTTTTCTGTTGTTGTGAGACATTACCCTGACAAAAGCAATTTAAGGGATAATGGGTTTAAACTGAAACAAAGTTTCACAAAGTTCAGTCCTTCACATCATAGCAGGAGCATACAACAGCTTATCACAATGCATTTGTAGTCAATCTCAATAGACTGTAGGCTTTACTACACTTACAACTAACATAATAACCATTACAATCACTATCTTGCCCTTAAGTTAGCTAAATACCAGAGAAAGTAGAAGTCAGTTGATTGTGAGCAATTTAGTTATGCAATCTAAGTGTATACAGGACTCTACTACTTCTTTGACCTATCATCCTGGCATAAGGGACCAGGAAACCATCCTCCAAAGTTCCGGAGTTCAAGGGAGTTATTCAAACTAGTTAATCTTCTTGCTTACCATGCTTTGTTCATTCATTCAACAAGAAGCATAGTAAAAGCTCATGACCACCCTCCACATTTTGTTCTGAATCTGTGAAGCCCTATATTTTGTGTTATCTTTTTTACAATAACAATTGTCTACAACTCTGTTAATATCAGCATTGCTAAACAATATTGGAGTCTACATTTTAAAACAGTAACAGGGCTTAGCTCTGTGTAACATTTTCTTAGCATATGCAAGGTCTTGGGTTAATTCTTACTGCTTAGTAAGCAAGCAAGCAATCAGAGAGCAAAAGTTCATGTTTTCTTTTCTTTATATAGATTTTAAAGACTATCCTGTTGCTTTCTAGGTGTGAAGTAATTAAGTCAGAGAGGCCTGTAGAAGAAAAATAAAAGATTCTTCTAAAACACAAAAACAAACAAAGTTTACCAAAAGTTTAAGTTGTTGAGGAGGATGCTGGGTTGAGTAAAAGAAAATATCAATAATATGTGAAAAAAGGTCCAGTGATGTTTAGAATGGTAAGAATTTTGGTGTTACCCATTTTGCCATATTTTTCTGTCTTTTCCTGTGGAGCAGCAATCCTCTTGTTTTTTGAGCTATCTTGCAAGACAGTATCTTTTCCAGGGTGGAATGGTGCTTTAGTCATTTATTTTATCACTATTGTGTATTGAGAATTTTAGTTTCTTTATAAATGAAATGTTATGTGAATATGGTTTTTTGGTCTTAATCCAAGGTGTGGGATATGGGGCTGCTTCAGAATGACCACAGCAGCTATGATTTATCTTGTTTTCTGGCAGGGACATAATTTTTCCAGCTGAAAATAGTTTATGTTTGGAATTCTGGGGACTCTTCAGAGGGTGTAAATGGAAGAGCCTTGAGAGGGCCTGTGGAGGCTGCTGCTCCACCTACTGCTGCTGCCCCTGTTTGCTCCTGCTGCTGCTGCTGCTGCTTGCTGGTTGCTGGTTAGAGATATCCTGATGATAAAGATCAAACTTGCCCCAAGAACCTCAGCACCCCTAATCAGCACGAAGTAGTAAAAAAAGACCAATGCCCCTTTCCCTTTTATCCTTCTTTCTCTCCTACCTAGTGTTGGGAGGTAAGAAAACAAACAAACAAACAAACAAACAAACAATAAAGTAGCCAAAAATCTAGTTACAAGTGGCACCTAGCATGGGCTAAGCAGAATGGGAAATCTGATTTCTAATTCCATGGAGAAAACAACAGGGAAGAAGGGATGAATATTCTGTTTCAGGATGTCAGCAAATAGGTTGTTTGCAGCTGCTGCCACTGGGTTCTCCCAGAGGGATTGTCTATTTCTTCTTCTTCTTTTTATAGTCTGTCTCAAAAAAAGGTTCAGAGAATGGCTGAGAAGTTTGAAAAGTTGCGAGTGGAAATGAAGAATCCAAGAAACCAAAAATTGGATGAAATGGGAAAGCCAAAGGGTCACTCTATTCTCTTATTTTTGAAAAGTTTGCAGAGTTGAATATGCAACTGAAAAACAAACACCAAAAAAACTGTGGGTAGAGATGGAAGCTCTTGGGAAGTGAGAACTGCCTGAAAAGGGAAAACAAAAGAGCTCATACTTGGTGACTAAGCAAGAGAACTGGAGATTCTCACAGGATGAAAAAGAGAAGCAAAAGCAAACCAGACTAGAAGGCAGATCATCACCCTGTGCTGGTAATGAGAAACCCCTGAACAAGGCAGAGATCAGGGGTGGTGGGGCAGAGTACAGGGTGACAGGGTTAATGAAAACCAGTCTGTTTCATGAAAAAGGGTTAATCTTGAGCCAGTTGTGCTGCAAGAGTTTGGGTAGTCTGGACATACAAAAATAATATTGGTTTTCTCATAGTGCTGATCATGATTGTACAAGATAATATGGATTCCTATAGAAATGACAGATTTGAGGTGTTTTAAGGAGGCTATGATTTCCTACAGAAAGCATTTTCCTATTGTAAAACATATACTAAGTTACTGGGCTACCCAAAATAGAGTTATTTCCCAGGACTGAAAGGTCTGGTAACAGCTATGCTAAAAGCTGGATAGCAGATAACAATGTTTAACATGGTGGATAGGGGAGGCCAGGAATATTGAACAATGACATAGAGCAAGGGAAATGGATATTGTTTTAAATCAATTGCTCGGTGGAGGGCGGTTCTCTGATTTACAGACTCTATTTGATGATGTCATTCTAGGACAACATTGTTTGGTGGCTTAAAGAGATCGGGACAAGGTTGAGCAGCCCAGGAAAAAGTGCACCTCATTTATTAATATTCTCAACGCCTCTGGGAAGCCTTCACAGATTTCTTGCAAGAGTGGTTTTTGTTGTAAACAAAGCCATATCAGACCCTGGATGAGAGACAGGTGTTGACAGAGAAATTGACATTTGAGAATTAGAATATCAAATGTAAAAAGTTATTAGACCATGAACGTCTTAAGCCATGACAATGGACAAGTGCATAAGAGACACAACTGATACTGGCTTTCATGGGTACCATGCTAATAGGATAAGCTATTGCTAAGGGTCTCCAATATAGAAATGCCCTGTGCTTTAATTGTGGTAAATTTGGCCATTTACAAAGAAACTGTGACCAACCTGCCAAAAGCCTCAGTTCTCAATATGTCCAGTACATTAACTATGAGAAATATGGTACTTTCTGCCAGAGAAGTAAACAAGCCATTTCTCAAAGCAATGGTTTTTCTAAAAGAACTCTTAGGCTTCCCGGGGTTTGCAGACTGTGTGGCATGGGACACCATTGTACCAATGAGTGCAGGTCCAAGAGGTATAACCAAGGCAACTTCTTTTTTTTAATTTAATTTAATTTTTATTTTAAAAGACTAATTAAATTATTTCTTACAATTTATTCATTTTCTATCCCGGCTGTAGGCCCCTCACTTGTCTCCTCCCAGTCCCACCCACCCTCTTCTCCCCCGCCGACCTGTCCAATGATAGGGGAGGTCCTCCTCCACTTCTATCTGACCCTAGCCTATCAGGTATCATCAGAACTGGTTGCTTCATCTTAAAACCTTTTTGCTCTTGGGAAACAAAGGGAGTCTGGTAGCTCAGGGCCCCTCAGCAGAAACTACAATCCATTTCCCTTTGGTCATCCAGGAAATAACAAGCAATCCAAAAAAGAAAAAGAGAAAAAAACAAAACAAACAAACAAAAAAAAAAACAAAACAAAACTATTGTAGGCAGTACTGCTATAGATATGGATACAGGTGAACCTCTCTACCTATCTCCCAAAATTCAGTGTTATAAAATAACTACTGATGGGGATTTCAAAGGAAAAATTAAAATTATGGCCAATGTAAAAAAAAATAGAGGTGTAAATTAATGCAGGTGATAAGATTACTCAGCTATTAACTGTTTTCCTACACTAAAGGCAACCTGTTTCACTGGAAAGAACAGGAGGGTTTAGAAATACTGAAAAATTTGTATTCTGTCAAGCAGTGGTTGATTAGAGGTCAAAAATAAAATTGCAAATAAATAGGTTAAAATAGGTTTCATGGGTACAGGAGATGATGTGACTATCATTTCCCCCCAAATCTTGGAATTCAGAATGGCCACTTCAGAAGGTTTATACACAATTTATAGGAATTAGAAAATTATCTCAAATAAAACAAAGTATCTGATAGGTTAAATGAATGGAACCAGAAGTTCAAAAGGGAAAGTTAAGATCTTATGTGGTTGACGTAACCATAAGTTTATGGGTGAGGGGTCTTTTAAAATAATGGAATACTCAAATTAATATTCCTGCAACCCCAGAGACAGCTCATGATGAAATTAGGGATAAAATGATAGATGCTTCGGGGGAAGGTATTGATATATGTCAAAAATAATCCAAGGCTGTGCCAATTGTCCAAATACAGGACATTCCAGAGACTGAGTTTCCAGATATACAAGAGGGGGCCACTGCTGAAATAGCGATGGCCCTACCCTAAAATTGTTGACTACAAGCCTGTATGGATAGGTCAATGGCCCTACACTAAGAAAAAAACTACAGAAACTCAAGCAAGGCTGGAACTTAGAGGCAGGAGCAGATATATAGGCCATGGAGGATGCTGCTTCCTGGCCTGTTGTTGCTGGTAGCTGTTTTCTTGATTACTGTTTGCTGGTTGGAAAAATACTAAGGTTGAAGGACCTCGACACCACTAGTAAGTAGGAAGGAATCTAACAAAATCAACACCCCCTTTCTCTGCTATCATTCCTTCCCTCCTACCGAGTGCTATAGGGTTTGTAGGGATTGAGGTGGAGAAGGGAGGTGGAAAAATGAATGCAGTGAAGTAGCCAACACCTTGGCTACACCATTATTTAGCAGTCTTGGAAAAGTAATAAATCTATGTAAAATAAAGGATGAATGTAAATGAAATGTGTGCAAGGAAGGATCAGCAAAAATCCAGGGGATATAGAAATTTATCACACGTTCTGCCATTTTTATGTGATAATAACTGATTTTCCTCATGGTTAGAGCATACTGATGTGTCTTTGAGCACCTATACTGAAATCCTATTCTCAAAATAGATAACTGTCAATAGTTAGTTTTGCTGTGGGCCAAAATGAGTAGCAGATTAGAAAGAATGCATCATGGCACCTAGTCTCAGACTGACTGATAGCTGCTCAACATTGACTGACAGTCATGAGGAGCCATGGAAACATCTACCAGAAAAGCTATTTAAAACCCTCTTCACCTGGATTACCTTTAAGATCTTCCAAAGCATAACTATTCATACCGGTGACCCTTAGTAAGAAAATTTTAATATTCTTTTCTCAATAAAAAAATATTTTCAATTAGATGTAAATAAACTTCCTAAAAGTAAGTCAATAATCTATACTATTTAGCAGGTGACACACAAAATGATTATTTATGCTAATGATGTCACATGAAAGTTAACAAACTATCACAGGTGTTTCTTTTCCCATGATTGTGCTTTACACTCTCACTTGACTCAATCATCAAGGAACCTCTATGCTCTATGGTTTCCCAGTTAAAAGATTTGGTCCTATTTAAAGATGATGATTTTTTTTTTTTTCGACATGGGATGAGATGACCATGACCTGGTCTTCCAAACTTTCTTTCATTGCTTTCTTGAGTATTCCCACATCTCCTTTGATGATGTTTAATCCTTTTCATTTGCTTCTCTTGGCTACCTACTCCAAAATGAGTTCCTTCTTTAACCTGATTACTGCCCTACTCCCCTCTGTTCTGCAGTGAGCTAAACTACTCCTGTGATGTCTGCTCCATCTTGAAGAATCTCAAATTATTACATAATTTCAATCTTACTACCCAGATCAACAAGCTCAAAGCTTAGCCCATCAGCCATTACTCTTCAACTTCAAATTACTTTTGTTTGGCTTCTTTTATTTGTTGGTTTGTTTTGTTTTGCTGGTTACATGTTCCTTGATTTATTATATAAAATCATCTTCTGAAGGCAACACACATTCATATAGACACTTTAAAAATATAAAACTGTAAACAAAGAAAGTCAGGTTCCATGTGCTCCCCCCCAACAAGGCTAATCAGCATTAACAGTAAGTATTCTTTTCCAGATATTTACATTTTGTGTAAGAAAGCCTGTCTACAGCTTTTATAATCAGACACTACACAGAATGGCGAGTAAAGGAGGAACACCCGTTGTTGCTCCTAACTCCCTTTGAACTAAACGCTCCAAGACAGTGAGGCAGCAGGATATTCTGTCTCTGTCTTTTTATTCTCAGAACACAACGGAGGGAAATGCCCTCAGTGACGCCGACAATCTGTGCATTAAACACTGCAGTTCCCTCGGGCATTTTTTGGACATTTGTTTATGACAAATAGCAGGCACAGTGGCCAATGAGAGACACTTTTGTGAAGATAAAATATACTTCCTGCAAGAGGGATTCCCAGCGAGAAATCCATGGAACAACCCCCTCCCCCCCTTTGCTGTCCTTGTGGCACCTGCCACTGCTCTGCCGGAACAGTTAAACAGGCCTGGTCTCCTGTGCCTGGGGTGCTGGCTGTGAACCTAAATTGATGGTGCCACGTGAAATCTGATGAATAAGCAGGTTCTTCCCCCACTTTAGATCTTTCTTATTCCCCTCCAGTCAGGCATGCTGCATGCAGAACACAGCTGGAGTTGTGATCACCAAGCAGACCCAGGGGCCTGAGCACCTTGAGGGGCCTGAATGAAAGAGAATGGAAATGTCCTCTTTCCACACACTCATGGAAATATGTCAGTAGGACCAGGGGGTGACACGGCCCCTCCTGCCAGGCCAAGCACCTGGCATAGGATACCAGACAGAATGAGGGTGAATGCTCTCACCTGGTAAAATAAAATAAAAATAAAAAAAGATCAAACACACACACACACACACACACACACACACACACACACACACTTTTTATCAAGGTCACATAGTCTTCAACCCCAATGTGGATGTACCACTGAGTCTGGAGGAAAGCAGAGAAAAGTGGAAATTGGTTCCAACTGAACAGGTGACAGGCCACTTGGGGAAAGTTGTGCTCTTCCTGGGTCAAGCCTGGTTTCCAGACATGTCAACTGGGCTTGTGAGTCTGAACACACAGGGGCCGTGGAGTGACTTTTCATGGCAGGCATGAGTTATCTGCAACAACAATGGTGTGCTCTGTTTTTGTTGAAAACCAATCAGGAGCTTGGGGAGTAAACTGAAGGGGCTATGATCACACAGCTGGACCATGGCTTCCCATGCATGGCGCCACTGGCCATCAAATCTATGAAGACGCTGTCTCCTCATTTCTTCTGCGGTGAGACGGAACCCATATGGTGCTGGACCATTTCTGGTATTTCCTTGGTCCTGGAGGCTGTCTCTCAGTGTTCTTTCCAGCTGTTCCTCCTCGCTTAGTCCTGCTGTGTAGACATCATAGTTCCTATGAGTTTCTCCATAGGCCCCTGCTTTGCCATCTCGGTAGTGATTCTGATATCCAGAGGGGCCTGCACCGTTAAAATGGTATTGCTGTCTTGGATACTCAACACTGGAGGGAAAAAATGCCTGCACGTTTCCATTATTTTCTTCAGAGGCCCCCATGTGTACATCAGTCCAACGAGAATGCCGGCCAGATGCCCAGCAAAGGAAGTCCCTGGAGTGCAGAAGTGAATGGCCACCAGCTCTGCCCAACAAGCAATCTTTTGGGGACAGGAAAGCCCAAAATGTTGACAAAGCCTCCGGGACAGTAATGGTTGTTAAGAACTTTCAAGACTAACAAAACTCCTGAGAAACCAACAGCACAGTTCCTTCTGAGGTCAGGCTGATTCATGAATTCAGGAACGGCGAACTGGAGGAGTAAATACACCACCCCCGTGAGTAGGGAGAATGTAGGGATGAGGTAGGCAAACCATCTACTTTCCAATCTTCTCTCCAGCTTTATTCCTTTCCAGAGCACGGACACCATGTTGAAATACAAATACCAGTCATCTGCATGGTGCCAGTCATTTTGGTGGTAACAGTTTTCCACAATGAGGCAGGAATGGTACAGGGACGTCAAAGGATTCAGGAAGAACCAGACGTTGACAGCCAAGGTTGCCAGGGTAACGGGGGTAATATTGTTGATCCCAACATGGAAGACTTGAGAGAGGAGCATCAGGAGCCCCGCGTTGACCCCTCTTGACCTCCGCTGCATGGCTGGATATCAGGAGCCCAGATGGGGAACTGTGGCCAAGGAACGCCAAGAGCCACACTCTCACTAAGACCAACGTGCGTCCTCATGTATCCCCGCACACGTGTGTCATCCCGCCCGTATGCCAAACCCGGAGGCTCAACTTCCTGCTCAGAAACCAATTCCGAAGGCTTCTTATCTCAGTGAATGGCATTGTCTTCTAACAAGTTGGTGAATTTAGAGTTAGTTTTGGCTCACATCCAGGGACATATAAAACCCCACTTTATCTTTCCTAATGTCTCTATTTGTCCTGTTAGTGGGTTACTTGAGCATCTTCATTGTTTGCTACATCAATGGACCAGCTTTATACAGGGCTTTCATTCCCTCAAGTTTTGCTTGTTTTAAAAACAAATTCTCCAAATTATATTAAAATGTCTCTCTAAAAGTTCAAACACGATCATATCATTTTCACATCTAAAAAACTTTGGTGGTTAAAATTGTTTCATTAGATAAAATATAAACTACTTGAAAAGACCTTTCATACATAGGCTTTACTTTTCATTCAGACAGTTGGCAAGATGCCATTCCCTGAACTGGTCATGATCCCCTTCAGTCCTTATTATTATTCCTGATCACCTGTCCCATCATTTTATCTTCTTTTCATCTGTTCTTTGTCAAACCTATATGCTGACCAAGGTGAAATACTTATATAATCTCCCTGGACCACTTTTAAAATAAGTTGCACTGATGTCTAATTCTATGTTCAAGTCCAAGGATACAACTTATTTTGTCATAGAATACCAATGGCATTTAACTCTCCCTAACCTTCTGGTGAACAAGAAAATTAGGAAAGTGTTATTAGTGCCTAGAGCCGACTAAGTAATTAATCATACATGAAAGTAAGTTAAATATACCACATTACTCATAAATATGGCTCTTGCATTGAAGATAAAGAACAATTCAGAATTAGTAGAAATATTGGTACTGTTTTATTACAAAGTTATAGAAACAATTAAATATGAAAATGGTCCCTGAGAAGTTACAGAAGGTGGTTGGAGAATCTGTTGTCCTAACACATGTTCAAAGAAGAAACTTGGAAGTTGTTTAAAAGTGTTAAACTGAGGCTGCATGTTCAAGAACTCAGTTTCTACAGCCCTGTTGAATGTTATAACTTGCTCTGGAAATGGGCAGGTGTGATGGATAATTTCAACTGTCAACTTGATAAGATCTAGAATAACCTTATAGATGTGTCTCTGAACATGAGGGGAGAGATTATTTTCTTTAGACTAACTGAAGTAGGAATACCTGCCCATTGTGGGTAGCACCATTCCCTAGGATGTGATTCTTGGATCTAACAAAAAAGAAAGATTTGAGCTGAAAACAATCATTAATCATGATTTTCTACTTCTTGATCTTGGAAGTAAGGTTACCAGGTGCCTTAAGCTCTTGTTGCTGTAACTTCCTTTCCATGATGGTCTATAACCTCTAACTGTGAGTCCACCCTTCCTTGATTTTGCTAGGGCATTTTGTCACAGCAACAATAATACAGTGGTAGAGTTAATAAAGAAATATATGTGGATCCTCATTGCTTTTGCTGTCCTCATTGCACTGAAGATGTGCAAGATAACAAAATGAAGGAGTCCATAGGTGAAGATGACTGATATTATATTTATCACTAGACTCTTGTTTTGTAATTGGTCAAGTTTAAATTGATGTGGGTGACAAGATCTGTAGGTTGTTATTTTTGACAATGTTTATTTTTCTTGGAAGCCACAAGTTGTCTGCAAACACCTTGCATTGATGGCTCTTTGGGTGTTCTTATTTCCACTTTATCCTTATTTTTGATTTCCTGGCAGCAAGCAGTATATAGCTGTCATGGACTACCCAAGAAAGTTCATGATTTTTATCTCTTGCACTTTAAGAAATTTATAGGTCCAAAATATCAATGTTTCTAGTTCTAGAATGGCCTTTCCAGTCTGCTCTCAACTCTGGGTCCAGGAGCAAGGAAGCTGTGGTGTGGCTTCCTGTATCAAATATCCTGTAGGCCATAATTTGCTTCACATTCTGAAAAATCAGAATTCTATTTAGCATGCCTCCCAGAACTGTATTATACTTTGAGCAAGTTCCAGATGTTTTAAGAGATGCCAGATGGCTCACGAAAGGCAGACCAGCTTTAAGGAAAATACACCCCATTTCGTTGGATCTGAACCACAAAGTTAAGCTTTCAAGGCCAGCTGTAGACATGAACATTTAAGGATTCCATAAAAGCCGATATTTAATGTTTTATCTGACCACAGGACAGAAATCTCTCAGAAAACTGGTAAAACTTGTGTGTGTGTGTGTGTGTGTGTGTGTGTGTGTGAAAGAGAGAGAGAGAGAGAGATTTAAGGACTTGTATTCTATACAAACACTTTCATATACTTGTCACAGTTAATCTTCAAAATAGTCAAAGGAGATGGTAATTTGGAACCTAGTTTTTCCAGATGAAAATCTGAGACCAAAAGAGTAAGTGAATGTACTTTAAATTTCAAGTTATTTGTGTTTGAGCCTATAAATAACATCTGAAAACACAAGGCTTCACCAGTGGCATTACATGGTTTCTGTCCTACCAAGAACTGCTGCTTCTTAACCTATTTTTTAATCTCATGAACACAGAAAAGGCAAGGTATAAGATCCAGACTGGCCTACAGTATTCTCTTCCCACTGAAACATGTTTGCATGTACAATACACATGCACACAGGGCACCTACAGACTTTAGCATAAGCCTTGTTTTGAGTGTTGACTGCGTAAGTGCAGTACTGGAGAAAGGCAGCTTTCGTTTGAGAACAAGAACCCACCTGTACTGTTTTGTATCCTCACTTTCTTAGTAAATATAAGAAACAACTATCACTTCTTCAGTTTTAACCCCAGAATGTCCAGAATAGAGAATATGTTGCAATGCTTCTGATAGGACCCTTCCCCCTATAGTTCTCAACCTTCCTTAATGCTCTGGTTTTTATCTTTTGAGTATTGTTTTCTGCAACAGTTGCAGGATATCAGCTCTTAAATGAGTTCACTCTGCTCATCAATTTCCAGCCTTTTCTATACTTGGAATCTTGATTCTGCCCTTTGTTACTTGTGGCCCAAGAATTAGTTCAATTGTCTTCTTCAAAATTTATTTCACTTACGAAAGCACAATAACAACACCTACATACATTTCCTGATATTGTGTAAGGAGTTAACTTTGTTGATGTTATATGAGATCACGTCAGTTAAGCATTTAGCACAGTGCACAAAACCCTGTAAAAATTAAGCAGTATAAGGCTGTGGTATAATCAATGTCATTGTAGTAATAGCAGTAATCATTATTCTACCTCTATCCTGCATAGCTTTGAGACATTAGATTATTTGGCTACAGAAGATTCATGAATTAATATTGTTCTGGGTCCTCTTCCATGAAACACATCTGCACTGGTAATTACTGTCTCAAATCAGCATGCTGAGCTCTATCCGCAATAAATTACATCACTCCTAAAATATGGTGTACCAAAGGCATGAGACACCACATGCTGACCCCAGTAGAAGCTGGGAGAGGATGTAAGAAATAAGTTTGGCCTTGAAAAAGTACTTGTTTCCATTGTTAAATATTATTTAGATATTATCATATTTTCTATTAGCAACATTAAAAATAGGCCAATGTAATTGCTGGACCAATTTTGCATATTTCATAAATCTCTTGTCTATTTTGTTTTCTCAAGCGCACAAACACAAAACAAACAGTTGTGTAATGTAATCCACAGGAAGAACAAAGATTATAGCTGTGGCTTATTGTTAATATAGACTCAATGTTCTGCAGGAGCCTATTAACTCTTAACAAATCTAAACTCTAATTTTAGTTACCTTGGCAACAGGGAGGCAGCCAGATAGTGAGCGATCTTCATTTTGAAGGCTCAGGTTGAGGCTGTCTGTGTTGACTCTGCCTTGGCAGGTTCTTAGAGCGATCTTCAGAATTTCCAGCAGGCTCTTGTTCACTTCAGACAGTAAACCGTAATCTTGAGGTGAGGTGCTGATTAGACAGGCAAAGAGAGGCTATGAAAATGGCAGCCTGCTAAATGTCTCTGCATGCTTTCCTGTTGAGTTTCTCAGTTCAGCTATTCCCTGGGATATGCCTAAATCTTAGCAACTGGGACATGGGCTGCATGTGCAATTTTCATCGCTCAACACACTTCTTTTTTCACTGTGATGAGATCTACAATTTCTTCTCAGGAGCACAGACCAGCTGGGTTATTATATAGACCTAGAGGGCTAATCTGTTTTGTAGCTCTCTTTTATTACTTGAGAAGAAACTAGCAACAAACATTAAGCCATTTTCTTGATCTACTTAATCTTGCTGTTTTTAAATTCAGTTAATTTCTAATAGCAAGTAAAATCTCTAAACCACTCATTGCCACAAACAAAGCCAAACAAACATGCTACAGTATTGAAATGTGGATTTACAGTTGAAACCCTCTATTGGACAGACATATTACATACTTTCTTAACCTCCTATTTATGTATGGAAGACATGGTGTTTGGAGAATGATATTTACTTATAGTCTGACATGAAAATATGTAAGTATTGAGACAGTCATGTCTGACTATTTCCTCTTTGAATAATAGATGAATGATAACAGGGTACTAAGATGTTATTCATATTTGTTTCATGAACACTCTGCATCCAAATCCATGTGTTTCCCAGATCCATCTGAATCACACCTCCACTGTGGTGTTCAACAAGACTTGCACTTATGAAGTGACATGCTACTTCCTCAGAAGGAAGCTGTGGTGTCTACATTCCACACCCACATACGTCGGGCTCCTTTCCGTGGTATGCAGATAAATGATTAAAACTACTTCTTCAAGTAAAGCCTTCATCCTCAGTACCACCAGCTTTCTTCACGTACAGCCTCCTCCATCACTGACTTCAAGCTAAACTGTGACTTCTGATTGAATGCTTAAGGAGTGTACAAAAATCAGGTCTCCCTGCTGCAGCCCTTCCCTCTTTGATACACTTGCATAATTATGTGTTCTCTTCACCCAAAGGCTTCCCACAAATCCTATCTCTGTTTCTTCATGTCTTGAGTCTTTCTTCACTAGTAGATTGGGCCACAAGGTCAAGACTTTCTTACTTGTTGCTGTTTCCCACTGCTCTAAAGCATGACCAAAAACTGATTTGCTTAAGATGTCTAGAAGGTGACTTCCAAAATAAACAATTCTCAACTACTTAATAATATATAATACTTTCTGAAAGATCCATTTAGGAGGGGCTATCCTGCTTGTGCTCCTGTAAGCGATTGCTGCCCATTCTGCCTCCCAATTCTAGCAGAGGAAAACCCTGGCATTATCAACCTCTCTGTGCTGCTAAGGCAGACTCTGCCAATCAGATACCAGGGTTAACAATTTGAATTACAAGTTTTCCTCTCTCCTTTCTTTCCACATCAGTTACTAAGTGTCAGGATTGATCAGGCTTTGGCCCTTGCTCAGTTTGCTGATATGGTAGCTGGCAGGACGTCTGGAAAGGCTCTTCCAGGACTGGATTTCATCTGGCACACTTTAGGAGATGAGAGCTGTAGCCTTCCAGTCCCAGAGCTACCCCACCCAGCAGATGATAAGGAGGACTTCCTCCTGAGCTGCAGGCTCAGTCCTATGTTTCCGCAAATACACTGTCTGGTTTTAACAAAGCAATGCCTTCTTTCATGCAATCAGAATAATCTCTTTATGTAGTTTTGTAAAATAGAGATTTTCTATTTTCTATTTTCTCCCTGCAAGTCACATGATGTAACATCTTTGGATAACTGGAGATGTCTTTTTTTTTTTTTTTTTTTCATTACATATGTATTGAACACCTCAGATAGGCCAGTAACTATGGGAGGGCTAAGTGAGACACAATGTTGGCTAGGACAGACAGCATTTCTAGCCTCAAATACCAAATAAGTAATTCCAAATTCAATGCCTGTTTTAAAGAGCTTTGTACTTGGTCGTTTGATTATTTTTATTTAGTTGTTTGTTTAAATTCACAACATAATTTCGCTCTGTACCTCTGCCTGCCTTGAACTTCCTGTGTAAAAAGGGAAGTCAGAGTTATCCTCCTCTCTCTTATTTACTTACTTTTAAAATTAAATTTATGTGTTAGGATATAATACAAAGCATTTCACTATGACATTTTTACACACATGTCTCATTATACTTTGCTCTCAATCATCCCAAGATGAGAGAGTGGTATAAAGAGAATGAGAGAAAAAGAGAGAGAACAAAATGCAAGTGTTTGCAAACTGGGTAAGTAACTCTAATAAAAACCTCCACTATCCTAAAGGCTCTAAAAGTCTAGTGCAATGGAATATGTTTGTTTCTCAAATTCAAACTGGGGAACCTTAGGTCATGAGAGTGGAGACCTTATGAAAGAGATTAATGTTGTTTTAGGAGAGGTTACAGAGTTTCTTTCTTCCCCCTGTCTATTATGTAAGGATGAGAACATCTGAAAACCCAAACCCAGGCTGGCACTTTCATTTTAACCTTTGAACGTCCCAAACTAGCCAACAACAGTACTTCAATTCACTATATATTACCTAAGCAGTATGACCTAAAATATGTAGGAACAATATGACTACAAAAAGGGAGAGGGTACCTTTGTTGATGGTGGCCGGGACTTGGAGTTATCTTTGGGTTTCTGTATATATTTGTTCCTTTTTGCTGTAAATTATCTTTTGTTGCTTCTTTTAAAAAACAAAGTAGCTCTCCATAATTCACCTGAAAATTAAATATAGAGTAGAACATCTTCATTTAATTTACACCGAGAAGAAAGAGGCCTGTTGGCATCAAATGTATTTGGAAAATATTTATCACTGATAGTTTTTAAAAATCCTATTTTAAAAATTTAGGCCAGTAATTATCAGTGGTATTGTCTAAGTGGTCTTATCTGGACAAATGTCAAAATAGTACCTCCTCATTGCTGCCTTGTGGCTGGTAGAGCTCAGTTACTTAAATTCTAGGCTGTGACACTATAGAACAGTAAACGGGTTTTGAATGTGTAACAACCACATATTAATTCAAAATTCAACACACAATATATCCCTGGCTCTTTTATCTCCATAGGTTCACTTTACTTCCCTGTAGCCTTGTCTGAGCACACAACATATGCACTTACATTGCATTTGCAAAATTCACATAGTACAATACCAGTGAGCCCTGCCTAAAACACCTTGCCTTAGATTCCAGACGACTGTGTGTTGGGGATGACAAGGTTCAAGGGGATGACAAGGAAACTGTTCAGTTTCCATCCCAAACAGATATACAGTGGCTTAATAAAAGACAGCCTTTTAATATTTTATACAGTCATTCTTCAGCATATTAGCATGAACTTACTGTATCTTTTGATTGTATTGTTAGAATGATTAGGTTTTAAAGCTGTTGTTTGAGTTTCTCACTTGAGTTTCCTGAAAGTCCATTGAGTTACTTTTGGATTGGGATTAGGATAGAATCTTCACCTTCAGAAGTAGAGTTATTTTTCTTTTCTTTTTGTCCCTAGATAAAGAGCTACAGGCAGTCAGTGACTGCTAAAAGAGGGAGAATTACCCTCTCTTAGAAATGGGATGCCCAATTGGTTATTCCATGCAAAGTGGTCAACTGTAGTGAGAATTTTGAGGTGTTTTTTTTTTAACATAGATATGTTACATGAATAAGTTTTGTTTTAATCCCAGGTGTGGGATATTTGGCTATTTCAGATGCCCACCACAGCTGACTACGAGTGGCCTCATACTCTCACAGGGACATGATCTTGCCAGCTGAAGAGAGTTTATCTTTAGAATTCTGGGGAATGACTCTTCAGAGGGCATTTAAACACCAGAGCTCCAAGATAGACTGGCGGATGTTTGCTCCTGCTGCTTTGCTGTTTGCTGGATTGCTGGTTGGAGATATCCTGATAACAAAGATCAAATTCGCCCCAAGAAACTCAGCTCTCCTAATCAGTAGGAAGTAGGCACCCCCTTTCCCCCTCTAACCTTATTTCTCTCCTACCTGATGTTGAGGGGTTGAATAAGACAGGGTTGGTGTAGGGAGGTAGGAAAAGGAACCTAATATAGCAGCTGAAAAAGTCTGGCCACAATCAACCCTAAAATTAATCATGTACCTCAAGCAACAAAAACTGGCTTAGTAGTTGTATGCATATTTATGTATGTAATAACAATTACCATCCAAAAAGAGTCCATCAGTTTGAGTTGGAAGTGAAGGAGAGGTATTAGATGTAGAAAAAAAAGAAGGGGTAGCAATATAATTTTGTTTTAGTTTAAAAAATAAGTAAGGGACTAGTGAGATGACTCAGTGGCTAACAGCACTTGTTACTCTTACAAAAGACTTGAGTTTGGTTCTCAGAATCCATATGGTGGTTTAGAACCACCTGGAACTCAAGCTCTATGGCATTTGATACTGTATTCTGACCTTCGCGGGTACCAGGCATGGCATACATACATGTAGGCAAAACACTCAAACAAATAGAATAAATAAATTTTAAAAAACCAATTAAATAAGCACATTCATCTCATTAGCTTACAATTGTGCTTTCATTTTTTATAAACAATAAACTTGTATGTACACCAAAGAATTATTTTTGACAGTTCTTTGTGATCCTTTATCAGTAAATGTTTGATTTGTATACCTATTCTATATATCTATATACAGAGGTCACATAAAAGTTCTTTGCCAAGAAAGTGTCAGGACTGAAAAAGTTTATAGAACCTTGGGAGAGCCATGTGGCTAATTCTGGCTAAAGTGCTATGGACAAATAAAAGGAGAACCATTGAGCATTAAAGATTAAATTTCTGGCATAAGGGCCTTGGATGTCCCCCTTTTGCCCCTCCAGTATCACTTGTAAAAGCATTCCTGAGCAGCTGTTTCATCAAGATAGTCCTGCAGCTCAGACAGCACTGGTGCCTGTAAATGACAATTTAGAAACTAACAACTCGGGAACGTAGTTCAGTTGGTAAAGTGTCTGCTGCACCATAGTTCCTGGTTTTGATCCCCAGCGTGAAATATAATTAGTCATGGTGGCACATTCCTATAATCACAGCCTTTGGAAGGTGGAGGCAGGGAGATCAGAAACTCAGGTCATCTTCAGCTACATAGGTGCCTTAATGTAATAGTCTGGGTTGTATCAGACCCTGCTTCTAAACATAAATGACGTTTGTTTTAGTTTTTGTTTTTTAAGCCACTGAGAATTTGGGGTTGTTATTGCTGTATCACATAATGTCTAGCCTTTTTTCTCCCTCTCACATCTCAGAAGTGCTTAGTATATGTAATATATGCTTATAAGCTTAGATGCATTCATATTTTCTAAAGACAACAATTATTAGGCTAATTGAAAGAAAAAAAGTCATGATTGTTTTCCAATGTAGTAAGAGATTGAGGGTGGTAGAAGCCATCAAGAGGCTCTGGATAGCAGAACCTGCAGAGAATCAGAGGAACAGCATGGAGAGAAGTTAGGGTGAGTCTCATATTAGGTAGGTCTTGGGCTATAAAATTGTACTGAACTGAAGTTTTACATAGTTTGTTTCCTTCATTTTCTGCATACTGCTAAATAATTCTCATAAAGCTAGAACAGAATTAATTATGACAGCCTAGGGGAGAGAGAATATTTATTTGACCACCTACTAAGAACTAGATAAAGCATCAATATTTTTATTTGCTATATCACTAAATCCTGAGATGATGTCTGTGATATTGGTTTTGACTTGCTAGCCTAGACAAGATCATTGAGAACAGTCAGTCGCAGGTAACAGATTTGCAGCTGCTGGAGTTTGTGTTAGTGCCCTGGCCTTCCTTTGTGATATCTGCTCTGTCTAAGGCCTTCCCTGTCAATGATACTCACAGTTTCTCATTACTATCATGCCCATTTTAGGATATTTTCTGTGGCTCTGTAATTTGTCTATATTTGGACCATACTACAGTCAAGTGCAAGTGAGTTTTAGGCCAGTGCCCAAATATGGACTGCATACAAACCCACTTATTATTGGTGATTCATGTCTTAGCTCTGGGTCTGCCATTAATTCCTTGGTTTCTTCAACCGTTTTCTTGACAACCTCGGCCTCAGTTTTCAAAACTATAGTGGTAAATAATATTACAAAGATACCCCTGACCTCTAAGACACTGTCACAACAAACTTGCCTTAGTAAGTCCAATGTAGTAAGGGATTAAAGGACAGTTACTGATTTCCACTGCTAACATAAGAGACAGTCCAGAGGCTTCTTGAGGCTTATAAACAAAATCTCAGGAAACTCGAGGCAGCCCATTGCTTTGAATCAGTATCGGGCTTCATATGTTTAGAACAGCCAGTGAAAGTTGAGATAAAAAGTCTTAAGGGGAAATTGAATAAACCTAAGAGCCTTAACTCTATTTTCTGTTCCACTGTTTTCTGATGAAAACTTGGCCACTCATGAATATGAATAAGCTGAGAGCTCTATAGAAAAGGCCATGGTCACGGAGGAAACTAACTTCTTAATTTTATTACCCTGTTGGGTTAAAGTCAGAGACATAAAAATAACCCACAAGATGGCCATACCATTTCTGGAGAACCCTTTTTGGAAAATCTTTGGCAGAGGAGCTTCACTGTTTATAAGTGCAGAGGGACTTCATTCCTTAGGAACTGGTGGCTCAGCTTTGACTGGAGGACAAACCCTGAGGAGAGGGGTCCAGAATCTTCAGCTCTTTTTGAAGTTTGTCCAACAGGCTGGAGCTCAATGGGCGTGACTTTGGTTCTCTTCTGACCATAGTGATTAGAAAATAATCTTCTCTTGTCATTATAGATGGCTTTTGGACAATTTCCTAACAAAACAAGGGACAGAAGTGTGAATAGAGCTCTGAGATGGGACAGGTAAAGCAGAAGCAGACACAGCTGGAAAAAGTGTTAGAGCTTACCTTTGCAGGCCTGGCCCAGGCTAAGACAAGATGGTACTACCTGAGGAAAGTATTCATTCTGGCTAGTTTAGTTAGTTTATGGGACCTTGGATCTTTTCCTTAGGAGGGAAGAAAGCAACTCTTCTTAGAGGATATACATAAATTCTTTAACAACCATCATCAGTCTTGCACAATGAAAGCAGAAACATTTTATCTTGGCAGCCTTACCAGGCCACAGAAGAGGACAATGCAGCCACTTTTGATGAGAACTGATAGACTAAGATCAGAAAGGAGAGGAGAACCTCCCCTATCAGTGGACTTGGGGAGGGGCATGCATTCAGAAAGGGGAGGGAGGGTGGGATCGGGAGGGGAGGAGGGAGGGGCTTATGGGGGGATACAAAATGGATAAAATGTAATTAATAAAAAATAAAAAAAGTTAAAAAAAAGAATTTAGAATAACATATCTGAAAGATTTCTCAGATTGGGGACTTTAGTGCTGAGACTGAAACAAAAACAAACAAACAAACAAACAAACAAAAAAACGATGAGAGCTGAATCCAGACTGGATTAACTAGGATTGCAGGGGCCCTTCTGGGCAATTTGGAGTGAAGGAAGTTGAGCTCTGCAGGTTTGTCTGAAAAGTCCCCAAGGAAGAGTCCTGAAAATTGGCTGAACATGTGCTGTATGATATCTGTCAATCCATTCTCAGATTTTCTAATCAGTATTTCACATGAAAATACATGGTCAGTGACTAATTCCCATCATCTACAGAGCTATAGAAAACATTCAGTATACACACCACAGCTTGACCAGGACTGTCCTTTGCTTTAAATTCCAAGGACCTGTCTGTAGACTTTCTTCTCTGGAGACAATGTTTATAGGAGAGAGACTGGTCTCCAGTTGGTGCAGAATAGCAGTGGGCATTTGCTTCATGGGAAATCTTGAAGAAACAAAGACAAATGAAAGCAACAAGCTGAATTGAGAAAGGGAAGAGAAAACAGAAAGGGAGAATTGAGTGAGGCAAGTGGCTTCTTCCAGAAAATTCCAATCCTAAGTTAGCTTCAACCCATGCAGTCATCAAGTAACTCAATTCCCAGTGAAGAACACTTGCTCCACACCAACTTCATCATTAGACAATTAACACATGTTGAACGAAAATGTTAAGAATTAAATACTGTCTTATTTGTGTAAAAGAAAAAAATGGTGTCTCTGACAGATACACATAAGAAAATAGGTAGAGCATAAGGTGTTTGTAGACAGATGCGTGTTCCTATCAGAAATAGTAGTCTTTGTAGGATGTTTTAATTAGCAAGTTCATAAATGGTGGTCAAGGCAATTATGAGCTTTGGCAAGAATAAAAGAAATTTAAAATGTAACTCTCCAAAATTTTTGTTAAAGTTTATAACATAATAATAATGGTGCTAGGGTCAAGGTTAAAACCTCATGTCATTGTGCCATAGAATATGATATATTATCAATACTTTAACATTTTTATGATGATTTCTCATGTTAGTGTACCTCTGGATATACCTAGAACTAGCTAGCTACTGGCAATAGGAAATGGCTTGCTTGTAATACACTTTACTTAAGCTAACTAGCTGTTCCCTACATAACTTTCATACTTAAAATTCTTGACTAGCTAGTACCAGGATTCAGATGCCCAGACACAACCCTTCTGTCTCAGTTTGCAGGTGGAATTCTTCTGCATAACTGCTGGTAAGCTGTTTGTACTGTCCCTCCCTGATGATCCCAAGGAAACTTCACAAACTTTGTGCCTTTTGCTTCAGTCTTTTTCAGGCTCTTGAGCAAAGTTGGTATTTTCTCACATGCCCTGAATGTAACAACATATTTTCTTCTCTCTTGGAGAAAAACAACCATTCTTTCCAAGATGTTTGCATTCATCACTTTACAGTTTGGGCTCATAGAGTTGATTTCATCTAAATTTTGGGTAAAAATCCAGATCCATGATTAGTTTTAGTTCCAGGTAAACAAAAAATAGTATCAAAGTGATTGTGACAACTTGCAGTCTTCAGTCAGCTAAGAGTTTTGGCAAGTAACCATGAATATGACAGCAACTTACAGGTTCTGTGTAGTCACGAAATATTTTAAGACAAAATCAAGAAACTCTACAGAGTAGGCAAGAATATTAGTTATGGAATATACATGAGAAGAACAGTTGGTTATATGATGTACTCTGAAAAAGGCATCATATGGGGATATATATCAATTAATTTTACTCTTACAAAAAATGTGCAATGTAGGTGGCACCAGCTCCCTTCTACAGTTATAAAGCAAAGGTTTGCAGAAAACACACACACATATATGTATGTATGTATGTATGCATACTGAATTATTTCCATAAGTTTCCTCAGGAACTGTGATAGGCTCTAGAATGAACGGAGCTCTCACAACTTGCAGACGTAGTAAGACGTAGTAAGGAACCATGACAGTAGTACAATATAGGATAGAAAAAGCCCTACAACAACAGCTCATATATCCAACTAATGTGGACGTAGGAGTCCAGGCCAACAGGCAATGTCACTTATGTCTAAAGTTGAAAAAGAAGTTAGATTTTGGCAGTCTAATAACTGGATAAGGAGGGGAATGGAAAAAAAATGACAGAAAAAGAAAAGTGAATACAGAAAATATCAATGGAGTATATAGTGTGCTAGCCAGAGGGAGAGAGCTTTTCAGAATCTAACTTTTGGAAAACACCAAAGATAAATTTGCAGAGGGAGTCCAGAGGGAGGTCATGAATTCCCTTTAGGACTTGCTATGGTCTGTGCTTTATCTGAGGACAATCACAAAATCCTGTTTTTAGATGACAAAAATATCTGCAGTAACTTCAGTCAATGATAGTTTTGTGACATTTGCCTGTAAGAATTATTAAAAATAAAGCATGAGAATTTCACACATGTTTATTTTTGTCCTGAGGATATTAGAAATTTTAGAAGCCAAACATGTCTTAAATATTGACCAATATCAGTCTAATTTCATTCTTCTGTATGTGGATTTTCCTTGCACCATTTGTTGAAGATGCTCCCTGTCTTCTCCAGTGTTGGTTTTTGGCATCTGTGTCAAGTTTCAAAGGGCTGTAGTTACACTCACTTACATTTTGTTCATTTTGTTCATTTCCCTACCTGCCTGGTGTGTGTGTGTGTGTGTGTGTGTGTGTGTGTGTGTGTGTGAATACCCTAGTGTTTGTATTCCTAAGGCTCTGTAAATAATTCTGAAATTTGGACTTCCGCTACCTTCACAAGTGTTCTTTTGACTTAGAATTGCTTTGGCTAGCCTGGGTCTTTTGTAGTTCTGTATGAGTTTTAAGACGATTTTCCTATAACTGTGAAGAATGTTGTGCTGATATCAAGTAAGTTTGCATTGATACTATAAATTGCTTTTGATAGAATAATCACTTTTGTAATATTAATTCTACTAACTTATGAGTATGGAGGGTTTTTTTTTTTCTATTTCCTACTGTTTTCCTCAATCCCTTTCTTCAAAGATGTAACATTTATTAAATTTCTCTGGATGTCTTTTGTAGCATTCTTCTTTGTTAGGTTTATTCCTGTATTATTTTTGAGACTGTTGTGAATGAGAGTGTTTAATTACAGAAGAGGTCTTGAAGTTTGGAGGAGGGAACATGGAGGTAGTTAGAGGGAAGGTGAGATGGAATAGAAGTGATGAAATAATACATGAAGTTCTCAAAAATGAATAACACAAGAAAAACTATGGAAAGATAAGAAAATTTTGCTATGGGGTGGAATTTATTTTAGTGAAGAGAAATAGAGTAGATTGAATTGGGTGAAGGAGTTTGACTTTTATATCAGGGCAATCGGGATTAACAGTATAGTTTAAATGTCTGAAGTAGAGGCTAAAGCTGATAGGTTGTGAAGATCTTTCTAAAAGATGTAACACACCCATGTACTCTTTTATTACCATTCATTTCATGTGTATTCATAGGGTCATCAAAAATTTTAACTACTTCCTTTATTTTTGAGATTATAATATAACTACATCATTTACCCTTTCTCTTTCCTCCTTCCAAACCTTGTCATAGATAGCTCCTTGCTCCCTTTTAAACTCAGGGCATTTTTTAAAAGATTAATTGTTATTTGTATATAGGCAAATACAGAAACACATAGTGCTTAAAAATATATATATATATATATATATATATAACTTGTAAACAATATTTAAATATTCATTTATTTATATTTATAATACAAATCATAAATATATATCAAAATAAGAGAAAACATAATAAAGACAAAAAATAAGAAAAATAACACCTGAAACAAATTTAAAGTTTTGAGATATTCCAGCCAAATCCAACTGGGGTCAACAAAGACTGACCCAGTTCACACCTGTATATGTGGGTGCATAGGGTGATTGTCATAAAACACCAAGTACTGGGTGTTACGTGGCAAAATATTCTTGTAATTGCTGGCTAGTACAAACAGGAGAATTTACAAACAGAAAAATCCAGTGGTGTGAAGATGATTAAAATCTCTCCAGTAAGACAGAACAGGACTCTGACTGGATTAACAACAGAAAAAGACAAAAAAAAAAAAAGACACCAAAAAAGCAATAATGTAAAAAAACTCAGTGACAATTGGACATGAGAGTTATGGAGTGAGGGGAGGAAAGGATTGTTGCTGAAGCGACTAACTGGACGAGCACAACTGAGACCATTCTGAATCAGGTCACAGGACGGTGAGCATGAGCAAAGACTCCGCATTGACCATGTGAACTGAGCTGCAAGGACACATCCAGAGGGGAAAGGCCCTCCTATCTGTCTATTCATTTGTCCAGGGAAGGCAAAATGATAGGGTTCTGCTGCATAGCCAAACGCCATCTATGCAGAAAGGCTTTGAAGCACACTTACCAATTGCCTGTGATAGTTATTAAAGTGAAAAACTCATACTTTGATTCTCATGCTGCCAGATGTCCTTATAAGGACACTCTGTATTTTTAAATTGCGTTACTGTCTTTGATGTTAGTCACACATTTAAAAAAAATTATCAGAGAAGTCAGAACTAATGTTCATGAGAAACTATATGTATATATATATATGCATACATACATATACATGTGTGAGAATATTTCTCTCTCTCACACACACACACACACACACATTTTCAAAGGTTTATCTTGCTGAAGAAAAATGCTAGTGACAAAATAGTCCATTTCTTATCTTAGGAGACTGTAGACAGCTCCTTTAAGCTCGCTGAGCCTCATTCATGCATGAAATTAAGGCTTGTCCTACTCATTTCTAGATGTCTTACTACTGTTCTTAAATATATAAACGTGCTCCTCTAACATGCTAAGCCTTACCTCCTATTAAGGATATTCTTTGAACATCATCTGCTATCTGATGCTTGCCTCCCTGCCCCCACCTTCATGCTGTCTCAGTCTTGATCACTAACGTCTCCTTTGGAGCAAATTAATCTGTCCAGACTGTGGGACATATCCCAGGCTTGTTTTTATCTGCTTGTGAGTGATAGAGATCTAGAAGTCGTTTTGATTGGTGTGCTTCTGTAACTATAGCAGGATTCCACTTACCACTTAGTCAAGGTGGTAATGAGGGTTTCTGTACCAGGCAACTGTGGCTGCCATCTGGCAAGGCAGCATTACATGCCTGCCTGGCAGACATAACCAATTAGTCAGTCCCCACACCTCCCAGGAGGCCTTCCTGTGTTTGGTAGCTGGTGTCCCACACTGAGCTGCTCACAGGTGGGAAGAAGAAAGTCATTTTCCTTGAGTATTACAGAGCCTGCTAGGACTCCCAAGCAAAAAACGTCCATAAGCTGAACTGCTGATACAGCAAATTTCTTACTGGTGGTCACAGTAAATGCGTGGTCCATGTCGGAAGTGAGGAGCTGAACGCAGGTAGTTGAACATCGAGATTCGAATTAGTTTATTGTTAGCATAGCTTTAGCAAAGGGGTGAATTCCATCCGGAAACAATAGTGCCTAGAATCTGAGCTTGAATCCTTAGATTGATACACCTCAGCCTTGTGATACTGGCAAAGCAACTTGCCTCATCTCTTAGTCTCCTTACCCATGAACTAAAGTTGTGTTTTTTGCATCCCTGGGGTGATTTGAGGTAGAAATTAGTTAATACATATGAAGAGTTTAGACTAGTCCTTGAAAGGTGGCAAATAACATATGGAGCTCTAAAATGAGAGTTAAAGAGCTACAAAAGTTATATTCTTGAAAGTACCGTTTTTATGTGCTGAAGGAAGAACCTTTGATGTTGAATGAATTGAGTAAGAGGGAAAATAATATCCTCACTCTATATCAATAGATAGATGGTAGAAGAATATGGAAGCCGCTAGTTTCCTATTTTTAGTTTCCTATTTTATTTAAATTTCAATGTTTTCCAGCAACTGTGTGATATTTTATGATTAGGGACATCCTTTAACATTAAAGCAGAAGGCTGAACGCGTAGCTTTTTAACTGGTTAAGTGCTTATCTAGCACACACAAGCCGTGAGCTATATCCTCAGCACCATGAAAACCAAGCATGGTGGCACGTGCCTGTAATCCTAGCACTCAAAGGGGAAAGAAAAGAGGATATGAGGTCAAAGGTAGTCCTTGGCTACATGGAGAGTTTGAAACCAACTTGGGATACACTGGACCTTGTGTGCTGGAAAAGGGGGAGGAAGAGCAGGAGGAGGAGCAGCAGGAGGGAAAAGAAACAGAGGGAGGAGGAGGAAAGAGGAGGAAGAGAAAAAGGAGGAGCAGGAAGAGGAAGAGGAGAAGGAGCAAGAAGGAGGAGAAGCAGAGGGAGGAGGTAGAAAACAGCAGCGGCAAAAGTGGGTCAAGCATCTGCCTCTTCTCTGCACACTTAGGAGTCACTTTAACGTTAGCTTTTCGGGTTGTCCTCTATATCACAGTAAGAGAAAAAACAGCGCACCTGTATCAGGTAATGCAATACAGAAAATACAAATAAGATGTATCTGGAAGCACCTGGTCACGATAAAGAGGGTTAAAAAAAGAAAACAAAACAAAACAGTAGTATTATTACAGCTCTTGGGAGTCATTCTTGGGAGCGACAAAACAGCAGAAAGGCATCAATGCCAGAGTCAAAATTAGAGAAAAACTCAGAGACTTTTATACGTTCACATGATACTGTTTTAGTCTTGCTAATTCAGCCTGGCCTGCTCTAAACAGACCTTACCTTCAAGGACTCATCACGGGAAAGACAACTGAACATTCTAAACAGAGGCCAGAAGGCCTGAGTTTCACCCTTAGTTAACCCTTAGTTCCACCACTAACTTACTGGCCTGGTTGCTTTCATAAATGGACCTCAGTCTTCAACTAGAATCTCCGGAGTACAGTCTGAAATATCTGTGGTAGGTTGTCACGCGTTCACTCATACGTAGTCTTTTGCCTGGTCCTTAGGCGTAGAAAGTTAAAATCTATAGGGCCTTCATTTCCTCACATGGATAAAATCTAGCCAGCACCCCAGTGAGTTTTTAATGTGCTATTAAAATTATAAGCTAAAAATATTTCTGTTTGAGGTTTGTGCAGACTTTAATCAGTATTCTACTAAAATATCTGGCTGTCACTTAACGTTTGGCAGCATGGCGAAACGCCCACACTACGTATCCATTTAATTGAAATTTCAATAATTTTCGGAAATGTCATTTTGTTATGAATGAATCATTAGTTTGGTCTTGATTTGGACCCAGTTTTCATTTGGTGCTATACTTGGCTTTTAATTTCAAATTACTAATCATTTAGGTTTTTCCTTCTCAGGATGGCTTTTATGGGTTGCCTGGATGGTGTCTAGCAGAGTCCTGGTGATATGTATTTCCATCAAGAAAGTTTGGGGCCCATAAGTTTTTTGATATTTAAATATGGTTGCATGGAGATTTAAAAATTAATACTCTTCTCTTCCTGTAATGTAAAAGCAGACAGACTTTCCCGCTCTAATAGACTGGAATCCTACATGGCGTGCCAGTTAGATTCTTGTCCACCTGAGAAAATGGAGTCATCTGGGAAGAGGAAGCTTCAACTGAGAGGATATCCCCTTCAGATTGGCCTATAGGCAAGTCTCTGAGGCATTTTGGTGATTAATGACTGATGTCAGATTGCCCTGCCCATTTGTGGTGACACTGCCCTCTATCCTGCATCATATAAGAAACCGCAGAGCAAGCCAATAAACACCATCTCTCAGTGTTCATTGCTTCAGTTCAAGGCTCCAGGTTCTTGCCTTTAGTAATATTCCTGATTTCCCTTCAAGATGGATTATAAGCTGTAAGACAAAATAAACCCTTTCCTCCTCCCCTAAGTTGCTTTTGGACATGGTGTTTACTAAAGCAATAGAAAGCAAACTAAGACGCATGGCCACTGACACTCATTGACTCTATTGATCCCTGAGTATCAGTGAGTTTGCCACAGGCAAGCCAGGTTGACCAACTCAATTCATTGTAGACAAGATGAAATATGTTGAGATCCCCTTGAAATTTATTTTCAAGTTGAAAACGAATGTTTATAATTTCTAGTCTATGAAAAAAGGTATGAATTTTAGTTGTGTATGTTTGAACGAATTTATGCTTCTCTCTGCACTGTTCTAATGAATTACCAAGAAAAGCTTGGGCATTTCTTGTTACTCACACTGTTACCCAGGAATCTGTCACTGAGGACTCCCACTAAGAACTTTTGATTCCTCTCTCTTTCTGGCTGCTGCTTGGGTGTTTGCTTTCTTCCTTACCAGCCAGGTTAACAGTGATTTGCTGAACAGAAGAGTTGGTGGGTCCTAGCAGCTCTCTGCTCACCTGTCTTGCAGAATCAGCCCTGGGTTTCTGGAATGTAGTTTGGGGCTCTGTCTTCAACTTCTCATTCTCCTTTCTGTGAAGAGAGTTTGCACCTTGTCAGTCACAAGGAACACCCATCATGCACAACGCTGGTATGAGAAGCAGAAGGTGTTAGCCTGGAAGCGTGAACAGCAGTAACAGCCCTGTGGGATGTAGCAGCAAACTTGGCTGTCTGTATGAGCATTGTGTACCAGAGAGCACCCATGCTACTGTGTGTCCTCCCAACCCCTTCCCTACTTGCTTCCTAATAATCTGAGTGTCTACTCCAGAACACTTGCGTATAAGAAGTGAATAGAGTCAAATGTGAATGGCAACCCACTAGCACATTGCTCTCTTATGAATCAAACATGTATTTTCCAGCTTTTGCGTCTAGAAATGAAAGAAAGTCAGAATGTTCTGCCAGGTCCAACTCTGCTCTGTCTCTCCTTGGTCGTTTTACCCCGAGACTTCTTTCTCTCTCAATGGTCCTCCACCCACTTGGTTTTAAAGTGAATCAGAAAAAAAAAAAACCCAAAAAACAACAACTTATAGGAATGATTTAAATATAACTATGAAACAAAAAGTCAGCCTTGATTAATAAGTAATGACTTATGACTAAAAATAACAAGGTATGACTTTATATGTAGAAAATCTCTTTACAAATAAATTGAGAGCTGGAAAATGGTTTAGCTCTGATAACTTGAGTTCAGTCTCCAGGGCTCAGATGGCAGAAGAAAATTAGTTCTTGCATGTTGTTCTTTTACCTTCATAGAGTACCTGCCCCCACCACAGAAACGCAAGTAAATAAATGTAATAATAAAAAGTTAAAAATAAAAATATATCAATAACCACAGAAACAAATGTAGGTTTTAAGGTGTTGTCTGGTTGAGCATACAAAGATCAAATGGCTGAAACTTTCTGGTAACATAGACACTATATGTGTGTGTGTGTGTGTGTGTGTGTGTGTGTGTGTGTGTGTGTGTATGTATGTATGTATATATACATGTGCTAAGAAAAATGCAAAAGAAGTTTATACCTTGTTTAAAGTATACTTTGTTTAAACACTTTGTTTAGTATATGCCAATATACTGATTATTTCTTGTGTTTTATGACTGAACACATGAAGCCGTTAAAATAGTTGTGACATAAATGTCCAACTATAAAAATAAATGAAAAATAAGCAGTTCAACTATGTAAAGTATATGCACACAATGTAAAAGCGTAGTAAGTCAAAAAGTCTTCCAGAAGTTAATAGTCAGTACCTCTGGGTAAAAAACCTGGGCTGTTTTGTTAACTCTATGAAATCACATCCTGTCATATTCTATTGTTATTCTATGTTTTCTATATGAGAAAATGTTATTTATCATCAGAAATAATTATTTTGAAGCAGTTATGCCTTGTGTCAAAAAAGCATTCTAGGAACTTTAATTAATGATGAAGATGATGTTTTAAATTTTGACTTATGTCTGAGCATGAAACAGATGCTCCATATTTGTTTATCCAATCTAAGTTAAGCAATGAGCAGTCCTTGGAATACATGTGTAGATTTTACAGTCATCTTTTTTATAAAAGCAGCATGAAATGAAAAAGAACACTTATAGAGAACTCAGATTAACATCTATGTGAATAACAGGAGACGGATTCCTAAAAGATGAGTAGAGAGAAATTTCTGGTGAGGGAAGAACCCAGGAGCATGGAGTAAAACAAAAAAGGATATTTCTGAAGGAGGCCCAAACAACAGTTTCAAACGCCAGTGTGTTCTACAATTCGTCTCTAGTTTAGCCATATGGAAACTGCCAGGAATCTTAGCAAGGGGTGGGGAAGTCAGTTTCCATGAGCTAGTGGAAATGGACACTAGAATGAAGTGGGTGATGGGAAGCAGAGAGGAACCACAGACAGAAAGTGTATATATGAAGAAGTCTAGCTGCATGAGGGAAGAGGAGTGGCAACAGGCACAGAACCTGTGTTATTAGACAGCTCTTTCCCACTGTTATGTTTAGAGATGGCAAAGTTTTTCCCACATTGCAACACTAATGTGAAGGAGAAGAAGTGGAGTGAACCACCTTTAAAAAAAATGTTGTCAGAGAGGCCCAGTGCATGAAAAAAACAAAACAAAACAAAACAGGAAAGATTCAGTCAGGGACATGTGCAGTCAAATTTGCGTGCTTGGTGAGTAACTGCTAACCGCTTAATTTTTTTTTCTATGATAAAATACTTACTTGATAGGTCTTACTGGGAAGGTATGCGATGGAAATTCTGAATTAAGGAGGAAATTATTTAAATTATCGGGTATGAAGAGAGGAAGAGAGACCTGGTGGCTGAATGGGAAAGGAGGACAGTTTGCCAGCCAGCTAAGATGGAGAACACAGGCTTTTGTGACATCAGTTTGGAAGTATGGATGTTCTCCTCTGAGAGTGCTCAGTATCCTTCATGGAGATGCACAGAAAGGAAACAGTGAGGCTCACCCAGAACTATGCCTTTGCCAGACTGGTGAAGTTCTGTCACGCGCAGCCCTCGCCGATAAGGACGACGCAGCAACAACGGATTTGTCCAGCAGCAACTTTATTGTGAGGCTCTTAACAGCAGATGGAGAAGGACCCCGAACCCTGTGTGCGTTCTGCTTAAGTAGCCAGCAGGGTGACTTGTTCGTCTGTAATTGGTGCTCCACACAAAACCCAATTAGCATGTGGTCTCCAAATGGAGGACCACACAAGCCTACATTAGCATAAGGCGGCGCATGCGCAGATCGCAAAACAATGCTGGCAAGAAGAACCAGGAAGCAGGAAACCGGCGCCATCTTGTAATGGCGGGAGTGGCTCCCGACAAAGTTCAAAGACAAAAGAGAAAGGCAGAATGCTAGAAAGAGAGTGTGTATTTGGCAAATACTTCTTCTAGTGAGAAAAAAGACATTAATTTTTTTATTATTGTTCAGGGTACTTAAATCTTCATTAAAAGAAACACAAACTAAAGTTTAGAATTTTGTAGTTTAGAACTGATGTAAACTTGATTCTGGAAGCCAGGATAATGGTTACCCATGAGGGTTTGTGGGACCGTAATGGTCCAGGGTTAATGAGGAAAAGTTGAGGAAGCTTCAACCCTGGATATGTCAAAACCTGAGGACAGCAGGAGGCAGGAGTTGGCTATTCCACTCTTCACAGAGAGTGGCATTACAAAGCCGGCTCCCCTACCATCAACCCTAGTAAGAATTTACTACCCTGCTAGTTATCAGGCTTCACTCCTTGTTTAACCTTGTAAGACAACCCCCCCCCCCCCAGATCCTACAGCCCCTGATAATGCAGATGAAGCATCTTTTAACATCTGTCATGGGCAATGATACACCGCTATACAAACCTTGCTCTAGAAACTCTCCACACCTTCTCAGGGGCATACATACCCCTTTCCCCCCAATAAATTGAACCAGTTCTCTGAAGCTGTTCCCAGGTAGGTTTTTCATCTGTATACTACCTATCCTGAGACCCTAAATGGCACTCACCCACATTGGGCTAAGCTTCCCTCTCTCTAGCCCAGTTCGGTGCTAGGTCCTACCTGGAGGTGGGGGTGGGACAGCAAACACAGAGTGTCAGGGGTTAATATACAGTACAGAAAAGTGGGGGAGGGGCCTTTGCAAGTACTGGCATGTTCCCCTTTCTTGAATTCAGTATTTGCTACATGGCTGTATGTTTGTGAAAAATCTAGTGAGTAGTATAGACAGAATATGTGCTTTTATGCCAATGCAGACATTTTTCTCTAAAATGTCCAGAGAAATTGGCATAAAACTTACAAATATGCCTGCCCAACTTATACATGCCTAGTGAACACTGCAAAGAATTGGTACTATTTGGTATTCAAAGGAGAGAGACACACCTAGGTCTGAGATGACTACTAAAATAATTGTATTACTGATGGTTTACTTTCGTGATTCCTACTCTTTAGCCCTTTACATCCCTTAATTAATGTAGCCCTCAAATCAATTCCAAGAAAAGACACAGTCTCCTCATTTTAGCATGAGCAAATTAAGGCTCAGAGATTTTAAGTGACTACATGGCTCTTCAATGGTAGATTCTGATTTAAATAATATACAAGAACTCCCAGCTTTACATCGTGTAGTCAGTAGGCTCATAGAGAAAGCACGATTGTTTGTCATTGTATAAGGATCCCAAACTAAAGGAGCAGACACCCAAAGCAGACTTTGAAGGCCACAGAGCAGATATAATGCTCCTGAACGGAGTTTATATACCTATAAAATTCTTCTCTTAGTAGATTCAAGACAAAAATGTCTAAGAAATTCAGTGTATTTTCGTGTCTTTTAAAACCACCACAGTAGATGTGAAACCAAAAATAACCTGTTAGGTCTGTTTCAAGTAAATCTGTCTTAAAAAAAAAATACATAGCACTTTAAAAATTAACATGAAATAGACTCTCCAGCTGAGAAACGACATGTGTCTCTGCTTAACACAAACAATTCCTCAGAACACACTTCTTGTTATGCTGTTCACAAACTCACAGTTCTTTCTTCTAGGCGGTGTGTTAGCTATCTACTTTACTGAAAATAGAAGTTTGCCATTTCAGAAGAAAGCAAGAGCACGCCCAGTAGTGCGTGGAGACCAAGCAGTTCATCATCCCCACCACATGTACTTCCGGCCCCAGCTTCTGATGCTAGGGGTACTGTGAAGAATTCAGTGGCATCCTGGGCTAGGGCAGTTAGGGATGGTTACAGCGCTGCTGAGTGATCAGTAAGCGAGAGGAAGCTGTCCGACTATTCCCTCTTCCACACTGGAGACTTGCTACCCACTGCTGAAGCACAGAGTCCTGGGGTTAGAGAGCAATACTGCAGGGTGAGAGGCAGCATCCTCTCCCCTGGATGGTAGACGGCCCCTGATGGCTCTCCCATGTAACTCCATCTCACCAGATAACACATTTCATTCAGATTACATAAAACCTCAAATAGAGGACCCAGGGGGCTCAGCGAAAGGTCACCAGATGCCATCCTAAAGGTCTGCCAGCCTTGGCAGCCAATCAGTGCCTCCAATTTCCAGCCATGTGCCAACTATCCTC